CCCAAAGTGCTGTGACTGGTTCTCTTTGCCTGCCTGCAACTACAGTGCTAGTGGGTCTGTAGGGGTGAGTAACCAGGCTCCAGAGGCTCTGGGCATCCCCTGTCCTGTTTTTCAGAGATGTTATGTGTAGTGCTCCTGGGTTTAGGGCTGCAGCGTTTGTGCCATGGACCACATCAGGGAGTGGAGGGCTGCTGGTGATCCCTGAGGGATGCGCAGCCGGAGGTGCGAGTGCTGTGCTTAAACACTTCTTGTCCATGCCTGAGGAATCCAAAACAAGGTGATGAATTAGCATGTGTAGGGCCAGCCTTAATTACCAATAAATACCTAATGATCAGCTTCCCGGGGAGGCTGTGCTTCCTGTGGCAGCCCAGGGAGCAGGAATGGTGCTGCTGGGCAGGGGGCCTGGGAGCCAGAGCAAGCAGTACATCAGCATGAGATCAGCAGCCGCTGCCCATCCGAGGATGTTTGGACTGTTCTGTAAAGCAAATGAAACGAGTCCTTGGGAGGTGCCTGATGCTTAGGCTGGGCCTGGGTGTGGGGACAAATCTCGGAGGGGCTTTCTGGCTGAAGCTGTGGGTTAGTCACCAGTGTCTTACCTCATCCTTTCCCTTGACCTGCCTGGCTTTTCTGTGTCCTTTTCTCTAGCACAAGTGCTGTGGGATGGATGCTGCAGAGCCCTGTGCAGGGGCAGAAAGGGCTCTGCCCAGTGTGGATAGTGCAGCAGGGACTTCCAAAGTTGAACCTGTTATTTCCAGGCCATCCCAGCCTTGAAGTATCTCGTGCCCTGTTGCCAACAGGCCATGTGGATTCCTGTGACTTTGCTGTTCCTGCGGGCAAACTGGTGGTTTGGCAATAAGCCTCATATGGCAAGGACTGTGGAAATCAATAATGCAGAGCCAGGGAGCTGTGCTGCAGGAAGCATTAATTGGTTTCTGCTTTTAGAGGTATTGGTATTAAATGTGAACACTTTATTGGAAAAATTGTTTTGGAAACAGTATTTTAAAATATTTTGGTTTTATGAGGATTGGACTAAAGATAAGCAAATTAAGTCAGGATGATGTTTCAACGTGTCTATTGTTGATCTGGCTTTTTATTTCAGTTCTCCAGCTCCAGATCTTTCCAGGGTAGGAGCAATGCTTTGGTTCTTATTCAAGGGCTGCTTTGTGTGTTTTAAAAAACAAACCCTAATCCTTTTGCACTGCCCCTGCAGTGTGAGCATCCAGAAGGGCAGATTTTCAGGAGGCGTCTGCATCTGCTGTTGCTGGCTCCTCTGGCTGAGCGTTTTCCATGTACTGAACTGAAGAACAGGGTTGAGGCATTGCTGAGCATTTTTCAACCCTTTTGTCTTTTAGCTTCATAGTTAGGAAATGTAACATGCTACAGGTAACATACAAGAGCCCTGGGTTTTTGATTAAATATTGATGGAAAGATAAAACCAATGTGTTTCTGTTTTGCTTTGTGTGAGTATGGGAATTTGTCCTGGGCTGGAAAAGTAGGATGCTCTTTACAGATGCTGGCAGGGATCCTGAGCACAGGGGACACTTCCTAACTGTGGTGGAGGACTGACCCCTGCCTAGGGCTGTGGAAGGAAGGTATGCCAGGGCATAAATCTGGGGTGCTGACAAGCCCTCCTGGAGGAGGGAAATAACTCCTTAGAAATGGCTCTTATCAGATTAGAATATTTCTCCATGACAGAGTGGTCCAAAGCTAGGTTTGGATTTAAGGTTTTAAGTTTAAAATGGGATGAATTGGGAAATATTTACATGCAAAAGATTCATCACCACTAGACAGAGCAAAAAGCTGTTGAGGGCATTGTGCAGGGGAATTCTTAGGCATTTCATTTGGGCTCTTGGTGCCTCTATTGCACCCAGGCTCCTGGCAGCAGCAGGAGGCGAGAAAGAGGATTCATGGCTCAGATTGTTTGGGCTTTGTTTTGGTTGGTTATTTGTTTGTTTTCTGTTTAATAATCGCATCTCACTGCCCCGTTTTGGCCTAAGCCTGTCTGCTCTACTCTAGGCAGCCTGGGAGGGTTTTGTGTCCCACCATGGGCGCTGCTGCCTGCAGGAGAAAACCGAGTATGGGAACAGAGGTCACTTGTCACAGCCCTTGCCAAAAGGTCACTGTACTGGGGGAGATGTCATGAGAACAGGAATGAGATAATTTTCAGGGATTATAGTGTTTCTCACCATAGGGATAAGAGTTGATACAGAACATCAAACCCTGGGAGGCATTAGCAGGAAATGTCTGTTTTTCCTGGATGTATTTTCTCTTCTCTGCTCCCCTCTTTTTCCAAATGAAGTTTTTCTGGATTTCATAGTTTTGTGTGGTGCTTTTCAGCATTGGAACCTCATTAAGGAGCTGTGTTTCAGATCTGCCACGATACAGAATAAACTTAGGCTGACCAAGTTTTAGATAGTCTGTGCTATTACCAGCCGCATACATTTTCACATCAGGACGTCAGTGTCTTCAAAACACAGAACTGTTCATGAATATTTACAAAAAAATGTCTTTTCTGCCTTCCAGTTTCCATGCCTTTAAAGCTGTGCTTTTGTTGTCCTGTGCAACAAGTAGAAAAAAAAATTTCTTTAGTGAAGGCTGAGATGGTCATATGATCCCTGTAGTAATAATTTAGGGTTAAAGCGTAACCAAAATGGCAAATAACAAGTAGATAATGGGTTTGTAAAGTTGAAGGATGGAGCTACAGGTTTGCAATATGTTCACAAGGGCTTAGGGATTAATATAGTTAATTTCTGTTTTATTAGTCATTGTCCCTGCAGTTGAAATCTTGGCTGATCCTTGGTGCAATCACTATTTCCAGTGTATATATTTTACAAGTTCATGAGGTTTGGGGCTCTTGTGCTATGGGGGCAGCCTGGGACAGGAGGCAGAGAGCTTAAGTGGTACTTCAAGAGGAAGTAATTAAATTGAGAACTGGATTGGACAAAGGCAGTGTCAGCAGTCTTTATGGGGTTTGTAGTGTGTGTTTTTATCTCTTTCAGTTTTTAATCATCTCCTTTTTTTCCCTGTCAGTTCATTCTTTCCTATGTTTTCCTTTACTGCTGAGTCTTTTCATTGTGTTTTCCTTCTTGCTGCTTTTGCCCAGGCAAACTTTGAGCCGGATAAAGCTGGGGCAGCACCTTCCCTCTGTTCAAACACCAGCTCCTGGATGCCCTTGGCAGCAGGTTTGGGGTATGGGTGCTGGAGTGCAACTGTTCCCTGCTTCCTCCAAGCCCTGGGGCTCTCAAACCCCTCCTCAGGCAGTGCTATGCCATTGCCCTTAGGTAGGGCTTTCTCCCTAGTCTCTGCTTTAAACCAGCAGTTAAACTGAAACAGAGTAAATTTAGATTAGATATTAGGAACAAATTCTTGCCTTTGAGGGTGGTCAGGCATTGGTTGTCCAGAGAACTTGTGGATGCCCCATATCTGCAAATGTTCAAGGATAGGTTGGACAGGGCTTGGAGCAACCTGGGACGATGGAAGATGTCCCTGTCCATGGCCAGGGGTTAGAACTGGGTGATCTTTAAGGTCCTTTCCAATCTAAACCTTTCTGTGATTCTAATTCAGAGCACTTCCCCCTTGTCCACCCTGCACACAGCATCTTTCTGCAGGGTTGCAGTCTGCTGTCACGTTTCTCTGCCTTCTCTCGGTAATGACACTATTCTCACAGGTCAAATGCTTTAGGTCTGAGTCTTCCTGTGTTCTGCACCATCTCTTCCTTCCGGGCTCACAGGCAGTAATGCTGTTTGTGCGTTTTGGCACAGGTTTTGCCTTTGTTCAGGTTGCCGGTTCTTGACTTAGTCAGACCCTGGCTTTTCCCTTTTGGCTGTTTGCGTTTATTTTCCTTTAAAAACTCTGGTGCTTATTTTCTATCTTGAATAGCAACAGCTGAATACTAAAATGCAGAACTCATTTTTCAGAAGTTTCAACCTATTATTTACAGTCTTCTGCACTTTGCTGCTCTCACTTGAGTTCAGTATCAGAGGTTTTTTAATTCTCTTCTCTAGTCCGTCAGCAATGTGAGCAATGAGTGGCATTGAACAGACAGAGCCTTCTTGGTAGCCTGCCTGGTTTGTGGTAAAATCCTGGATATCCATGCGTGGAGCTTATTTGCACCCAGCCTGTTGCAGATTAACCCAGGAATTCCTCAGCTTGTCCATGGGAATGCAGAGAGTGTCCACATGGAAACTCCGCCCCTGAGGTTAAATAGCTCTTATGGAGCAGAGCCCTATAAAGCAACTTGGCAAAGCTTAGAGAGGGATGTGGTATGTCCTGTCTGTCCAGCTGACCCCAGTGCCATCCTCCCTGCCCAGGACTGGGTTTGCCCTGTGTCCTCTGGCTCTGCAGCAGCCAGCTGTGGCAGGGAGCGTGGCCACAGCCCAGCTTCGTGGGGCTGCTGAAAGGGCCACAGGCAAGTCACATTTTCCCTCTCAACCCCAAAATTTGGCTCTAATGTCAACGAGGGGAATCTTGCTACTGGATCTGACTCAGGTCCTATTTGAGTTTGGATCCTGCTTTATACCAGGATTTGTCTGTGCCAGCTGTGAAAACAGCTTTAGCTTTAAAAAAAAAAAAAAAATCCTGAGTTATGGAGCCCTGCTGCGGTCCCTTGCAAATAATAATTGCATACACTGGTTAATTGTTTATCCATTAACCAACTGTGTCAATTAATCTGACAAAGAACCCAGCTGTACCTGGCACAGTGGGGAGGAAAGGAGGAGGAGGAGGGAAGATGAGCATTCTCTCTCCCTGTTAGCTCCTCTCTGTTGTTCTTCCTCCAGCCCTGTTGATGTGGTATTTGTCTGCTGGTTTCCTTTAAGTGTCATTGCTGGCATGGCATGTCCAGAGTGTGTTTGGGCTTGTGCTCTCTTTGACCATGGAAAACTTCTTTTGGAAAGGGCATTAAGTTTCCCTGAAGCAAAAGCATCTTCTGATGGAGAAAAAAAACCAAATTCTGTTTTGTTTCTAAATGTGAATGCAGACAGAAATGCAAAGCAAGATGCTGCTTTATTTGAAGCTAGAAATACATAAAAAATTTATTTGCATGAAGTGCCAAGTGGGAAATAGGATTTTAATGTATGTATCGGAGCAGAATGAGGCTCTGGTCTCCCTCCTGCCATCCCCTGGGTTATTTGGGAAAGTGTGGTAGCATCGCCTCCCTTGGGAATGCTGTTTATGGATGCCTGCTTTCCAGGGAGAAAATCAAAGATCCAAAGCCAGTCTGTATCAGGTGGAATGACTTCACGCCAAATAAATGAAAATGTACCTTATGCTCTCTGAATAATTGAAGTCCCCTGCAGTTTGTTGTTAGAATGGGAAAAGTGTAAAGCTTCCAAGAGGGAGAACTGGCTTTCCATGAAGTGGTGATGAGGGACATGTGGGGCAGTGCCAGTGCCAAATTCCTGCTGCAGAGAGGCTGCACAGGCTGGGTAGGGTAACATCAGTGGGGTGAGAACAGTTTGATAGTTGAAACAAAATAAAATATACTAGTAATTGTAATGTAGGGGGAATAACACTGATGGAAATAAATGATGCGTAATACAGTAATTGCTCACCCCCTGATCAGTGCCCAGCTCCCAGCAGCAGTTGGCACCTCCCAGCCAATTTCCCCAGCTGATATCCTGGGAGTGTTGTCCTGTGGAGTGGAAAGGCCCTTTGGCCAGTTTGGGTCAGCTGTCCTGGACATGCTGCCCCACAGCTTTTTGTGCACCTCCTCATTGTGAGAGCATTGGAAACTGGGAAGTCCTTGAATTAGGGGAAGCAGAACTTAACAGCAACTCAAACATCAGTGTGTTATCAACATTCCTCTGGTCCTGAATCTAAAACACAACACTGTACCAGTTAATAACAAAATTAACTCTGTCCCAGCTGAAATCAGGACATTGCCCCAAAGTTCAGTGTATCACTGGGAAAGGAGGTACCCACATGTATCTTTATGTTTGAGTTATTCTTGCAGATCTCTTGAAGTGATCTGGGGGTCCAGTGATCCCCTGGTCTGGTCCTAAAGCCTTCTGTGCTCTGGTAGCTTTCCCTGCCACTGGTGGAAGGTGACAGAGCCACCCAGGCCCTTGGAGCTCTCACTCCCAATACATCTACATTTATTTTGGTATAAGAGAAGAGATTGACCCGGTTTTTCTTGATTCAAGTCTGTGTGCAAATGGATTTTTTTTTTCCTGAAGGCAGCTGCTTCTAGCATATATGTAGTGATGAAATAATGGACTTGTTTCAAGAGGAAACAATAATAAAGAATGCTCTTTCAAAAGCAGTTAAACACATGATTTATTAAAATGTTAAATTATTTCCAAGTTACGGCATACCCAGCTCTTGTTGTGGAGTTCACTCAAGAATAATTGCACAGTGTTCTTTGCAGAACTTAACATCAGAAATGTCACACTTTTTTGGAAAAATCATTCTTTAACACAATGTAAGAGCTTCCACAAGTATAAATGGGCATCCTTGTGTTGGCTTCTGTAAAACGTTGCCAGTTTGTCCCATCCATATTTTTTCAGCGTAGCTGTTGAGCTGTGACATTTCTTGCAGGGCAGGACGAAGATTGAAGGGACTTTTTATCATCCTCAGGGAGATGCCCAGGAGCTGGAGCCTGGCTATGTGCAAAGACCAGCAGCCAGCTCCATGGTGAGATGCAGAGCCTGGAGAAGGAAGAGGAGGAGGAAGAGGGTTTGCAAATACTGACAAGCAGGGAAGGCATGTGCTAGTGTCAGTGGCCATGCTTCATATATTGATTTACTTTTGCTTCCTCTTTTTTTTTTCTTCTTCCTTCCCCATTTTTCTCATGACTCAGGCTCCTGGAATGGATGGGTGGGAATAAAGGTGGGGAGTGCCATAGTCACCAGTGCCCTCTAAGTGCCACTGCCTGAGTGCTCTGAGCAGGCAGCAGCCTTTTCCCTGGCTGTGTCCCCATCACAAAGGGACAGTGGGCTGGTCCCCTGCAGCCAGCTGGTTTGTTGGAGGGGTGAGCACAGAAGAGGTAGAATCCACCTTGTTGATTCCAGGCTTTCTGTGGGGATCAGGATGCTCCTGACCCTGGAGAGGAACCCTTAGAGCTGTAACTTTTGAGCCTGCTGAGAGGATGGAGCTGTGGGAGAGCACGAGGTATGCAGACACCACAGGCAGTTGTGTAAGCATAGAAATAGAGGAAATCTTAATAATGCTAGGAGTTTCTATCACTACTTCACTCAAAGGAAGAGCATGCAGGAAAAATGCCTGCTGATTTTCTGAGTGAGCTTTTTCTCCATGCAGACTGACCTGGGAAATGCAGCCCCAGGTGAATTAAGTCTGGGATTTGGCCAGGCAGTGATATGGTTTGTAACTTTAGGACTGAACATTTGGCATTGGGTGTGTAGGATGGGGACAGTTGGGATGAATGTGGGTAAAGGGGTGGAAGGAAGATGTGTCCATGCATTGCCAGTGGTTTTTTTCAGCTGTGTGTTTCAGAGAAGGTGGTGACAGCCCTGCCTTGTCTCTCCCCAGTGCCCCGCAGCTCCTGAGTGCAGGCCCCTGAGATGTCTCTGAAAGCAGAAAGCCATGCAGCCACATCCACGCTGAAGAAACTCGCTGCAGACATGAGCAACATCATCGAGAGCCTGGACACCAGGGAGCTCCATGTGGAGGGGGAGGAGGTGGACGCAGAGGTGCTCACTGACCCCAAAGGCACCGGTGAGTTGACACCCGTGTATTCTCATCCCATGTCCTGCCTGGGTTTAACAATCTGTTGGCAGGTAGGCTACAGCCTTAGGGGTTTTGCCAAGCCCAGCATTGACCCTGATTTAGAACCATGAGGCTCTTAATACTTGAGCTTCTCAAGTCAAGTCCCTTCTGTGTAACCTTGTCTTTGAGCTTTCTTTAATAAAAATTGCTCTCCTTTGCTACAATTAATGCTGCTGTATAAATGCTCCCGTGTTAAAGCATTGCCGTCTGCTGCCTTTCACGCCCTTGTGGATTGTTACAAGGCTGTTGAGCTAACAGTTTTGTGGGGTTTGTGGTCCTTGCAGTGTGCATTCCCTTCTCTGCCATCTACCACACCCATGGGTTCAAAGAGCCGGGCACACAGACGTACCTCACGGGATGTCCTGTCCGAGTGCGTGTTTTGGAAGTTGAACGCTTCACTTCCACTAAGAAGGTCAGAACTTGCAGAGATTTCTTTTGATTCCTGTAGAATTGTATTTAAAATGCTGTTTGTGCCTTAATTTTGTGCTTGCTTGTTTGTGGGCTGAGGAAGAAGCAATGCCTGTGTCTCAGAAAACGCTTAAGAGAGAAGGTTATCTGTCTATTTATAAAATCTAATAAAGCAGAACAAGAAATCGTGAGACACAATAATCCTTAAGTAAAATTGAATAAAGGCTCTTTAGATGAGCAGCTGAGGGAAAATGGCTTATTTCAAAACTTGCATCCCATGTGGTGATGCTCTCCCCTGCAGGTACCAAGCCCCAATGTTTACACCATCGAGCTGACCCATGGAGAGTTCGTCTGGCACGTGAAGAGGAAGTTCAAGCACTTCCAGGAATTTCACAGGGAGCTGCTGAGGTACAAAGCCTTCGTGCGCATCCCTATCCCCACCAGGAGGTGAGTGTGCAACCCTGTGAACACTGGGGTTTAGGAGATGGGGTTCTTTTAACTTTTAATATTGTATCTATTTGGCTTCATTGGTCCCATTTACTTTGCTGTAAGGAGTGGAGAGAAGAAGAATTCACTCTCCATGAATATTTACCAACTGTAATAAAAATACTTAATCTACGTGTTTAGCAGCCATAATCTAAGTGATGCAAACATCTCTCTGCTGACGAAGAAAACAATGTCTCCTGGGTCATCAGCTTTTGAGCTGGATTTGCCTTGAAGTTGGGGAAGGGTTATGATAATGCTAATGGAAATTGCTGGAGCTTTGTGGCTTTCTGACAGCATGGGCAGGATGTGGGAGGTATAGAGGTTCCTGGCCAGGCTGGTCTTGGTGCTTGGGATGGCTGGAGATATAAGGGGAAGGAGAAAAGAAGTGGGAAGAGAATAGTGTAGGTCAGTGAGAGCCTCTTGATATAGACAAACACTGAGATATGATAGGAAAGGTAAAATTATAAGGGGTTAAGAGTTGGAGGAATGGAATGCTCTAAAAACAGGGTGTAGGCTCCCTTTGCTTACTGTCAAAAATCAAACTCTGATGTTTTTGTGTTGCATTTTTGTTTGTGAGCCAGTTGGACCACACTGGCTTCTTAAATGAATCCACACTATCTTCTTTTCTGGTTTATTTTTTTAGCTATCCTGCCTGCCCGTCAGTTTTTAAGATCTTGCATAGGAAAAATAAAGGCATTGCAGAAGATGGGTTATGTATTGAGGCATACAGACACTTGCAGCACTGAGACTTGATGTTGGGGTGTGTTTTTCCTTGCAGTCACACGGTGAGAAGACAATCCATCAAAAGGGGAGAGCCGAGGCAGATGCCGAGTCTGCCGCACACCGCGGAGAGCACGGTGCGGGAGGAGCACTTCTCCAGCAGGAGGGTAAGTGCCCACCTCAGTCTGGGGGCCAGAGGGATGCCCTGAGGTGCAGGGAAGCCTGGCAGGTTGCTTGCAAAGCCACATACTATCAAAACCCTTGTTTTGCTATCATTATCGATATTTTGCTTGACAAAGTTTGGCTTTGACGAGTCCAGCTTTAATGCCAAATTCTCTGCTGTGCAATGATGAGGATGCTGCTCCTGGGGTTCATGTGGGTAAAGCTTTCCTCTGCTGTTGAGGAACACCGTGATGCTGGGAGTGGTGGTTCCCCTCTTCCCACCTGCTCTGATTTAAAGATAGACAGGGTAGTTTGCAGAGTCGAGTTGCATGATGAAGGCAGCCCTGTGGCCATCAAAATCTGAGAGGTTTCAGTGCCTTCCCCCTCTGAAAGAGGAGATGACAGACTATCGATGCTGAAGTGGGTAATTTTAGCCCAAGCACACGTATTCTGTGTAACTTCATCAGATGTTGACAGATGGGCCCTTCCATGGAGAGGGTGGATGTCTTCCTACCTCTTCATTGCAGCTTTGCTGCTCGCAAGTTAAAAACTCCATGTTTGTTCAGGCTGTGCTTATCGTTCTCTTTCTGCTGCTCCCTCCCTCCCTCCCTGGGCTTTGTGCCATTGGAAACTTCAAGGCCCAAAGGATTAAAGGATTGTGTCTTGTGGCTGAGCCATGCAGAAGCCCCACTGTTCACAGCTTCTCTGATGTGTGGGAAGTTTGAGGGGAGAGATGTGGGTTTAAAAGAGGAAGAAAACTGTTTTATAGATGCATTTTATTTTTTTAGCTCGTTTCCTTTCAGTTTGCTTTGTGTCCTGTAGGACTCTGCCTGGTTTCCCATGCCCAGACAGTTTAATCTTTTCTTTTCCCTTTTACTATGAGGATGGTAAGAGATTACTTCTCCCATAATGGTATCCTCTCTTCTTCCCTCCTTGCTGGGGAGGACAGGCCCAACCACTGCTCTCTCAGTGTCCTTGGGACAGGACAGCATGGTCCCTGTGTTCCTCACCACATGAATCTTTTGTTTTGGTTAAACAGGCTCTTTCAGTTGCCTCTGAACCTGTTTTCTCACAAAGCTGATTCCTGTGGGTCAGAAACAATGGGGACTGATTTGGTATTTAAAATTGTTCTGAAACTTTAACTCAGTCACAAAAGTTGACCTCTAAAGTGACCCTGCCACGGAACAGGTCTGCTGGTGGAAAGTGCAAACACTAGAACTATGAACAGTAAACAACCTATGACCAAACTATTTATGGTGCTGAGTTATGATATCCTGTGAGTACATAATAATGGATTTATTTATCCACTCAAACTGAAAAGTGGATCTGATTTTTTGATTGCTTCTTAATGCCAGACAGTTGGATTAAAGGAATTTTCAAGAAAAACCTCCGCATCTTATCTAAATTTTCCACATTTTAATTGTAGAAACAGCTGGAGGACTATTTGACAAATATCCTGAAAATGCCAATGTACAGGAACTACCATGGAACAGTAAGTAGAAATCAGTTTGCTTAATTGTCTAAAAAATATTCATTTTACAAATGCTGAATTCATTGGAAGAAGACGTGCAGCTTCTGCAAGAAACATTTTACCGCTGTTTTGTGAGCTTTTTGGCTTAGCTGATTTCTCCAACACAGATGTAATATTATTAAAACCAAAGGAATGACTCAGATTAGAGGTTGTTAGTATAACAAACACAGTGATAACCTCTTCAAGCTAGTTCAGTCCAGGCAGCTTGTTGTACATGTATGATGTAGTGAGAGTCTGTTTAATTCTGCAGACTATTTAAGATGATAAGTTAAGGTTTTAAATACTTAAAAAATTGGAATTCAAACCATTTAGTCTGGGCTTTGTGTGTGGTTCTGGGTGCAGATTTGTCTCAGGTTTCTCTTCTGTGCAGTTTCCCTGGACATTAGTGACGTTGAGTTTGTGTGTGTGGGATACCCAGAGAGGTGAATGAGTATTTTGTCAGTTCCAAAGGGAAATGGTAATTGGCTTATTTCCCCAAGTCAACACTGTGTGAAATGAGGAGAGATGTCAAATCCAGCTTCAGACCTATTTTAAGCAAAAAATATTTCTTGTTAAATTCATCCTGGAATGTTTCTTCAGAAATCCTCACCTGTCAGCCGCAGCTGTGACATCTCTTGGGGATGATAATTTATTTCCCCCTTTTTTTTGGCTGCATAATGACTGTGTTACTTCATCTTTTGTATTACCAGCAAAATCTGATGCACGCACTGAGTAGCTGCTGGGTTTAGTGACATTTCTGAGCACACAGTGATAACTGGGAACACCTGGTTTTTAAACAAGCCAAAAATAGTGAACTTCGGGTTTCTATATCAGCCACTTCTCTTCCACTTTTGGTATTGTTAAGATATTCTCTTTTGGAGGATTTCCGTTGTGTAGAGGTGTTGGGCAGTTCATAGTTGGATGTTTTGTATAAAAATTTAAAAACTGTGTGTGCTGTATTGTAGAGCTCAGTGTTGAGCACTGCCTGTTCCGTGGGACAAAGTGCCCATTGGGGTTGGCCATTGCACTCTGAATAGCAAGAAATCTTCAGGCTGAGGCTGAGAAAGCTGCATTCCTTGGAGTGCTTCTTTAGGGGACAGCCTGTGGAGCTTAATTCCAATGCAGTGAAGAGCTGTGTTAGTGTGCATGTGGAAAAGAGTCATCTTTTGTTCTAGAAGCAAGATCAGGATAACTTGGCAATTTTGATCAGTAGCATATGCAGAGCGGGGGAGAGTTATTTTACAGTGTGGATCCATCTTGTCACTTTTAGGCAGGCGTTGCCTTTTTCAAATATTTTGGAACATTTCTGCTCCTCTGAGAACGTGGGTGATGCTTTGGCCAGGCTGTGGTTTGAGCCAGGCTGCCCAGTGGGGGCCGGGAGAGGAGATGGGCAGCCCTGCCTTCCCAGGCAGCTGTGGGGTGCTCCCTTCTGGGCTGAATCGCCCTTCTGTCCCCAGCCCCCGGAGCCAGATGTCCCTTTTGCACATAAATTCTCAGTTTATTGTTGGCTTTCACTGGATTTGGCCGCAGGGAAATGTTCAGGGAGGACTTTGCTGCCCGTGGTGGTGGCACGGGTCCTACAGGCAATGCTGGAAGAAAGCACAGGGAAGGAAGTGCTTCCTTTAAAGCAACGCCCAAACAACCCCCACCATTCTCAGACTAAAGTGAAGATTTCTGGCACTTTCCCTGGAACTGTATTTGTCTTCCTGAGAACAAAATGAGGGCTTTGCTCTTCCTGTGGTTGAGAAGTCTTTTGCCTGGATGCTGACAAATGCTGTAACTGTCTTAATCTTGGAGCACATTTGGACTCCGTTATGTTGCTCTCATCAAGTCCATGCACTGAGGACTTTTTTAAAATCAGGAACTGTTAAATCAGGCGTGGAGTTGCAAAGGCAAGCTGAGACCTGCCTGGAGTGTAAACCCTTGGTCATTGTGAAGAGCCTGCTTGGGTCAGTAGCATCTCTGAGGAGACATTTTTTTTATCTGAGCTGCACAATTTAATGAATTTGCTTTTTTGCATCTTTTATTTTGCATTTGTGGTTAATTTATTTTTTCCAGTGAGAGCAAACTGCTTTGTACACTGTCTGGAGGATATGCCATGCACTGAGACAGTTGAACCTGCAAGTCAAGCTTGTGGTTTTGCAGACCTGAAGTCTGTGGTTGGGTTAAGGATCAAGTCCACAGTGACTACATAGCATTGTAGAGGTTGTACATCATCTAGCTTTTTATATTTAATAGTTTTTAAAAATTTATTTGATTTATGTGATTAAATCTCATGTCTTCTTTCCAAAACCTTTTTATAGTACTTTCAGGCTGAAGTGCTTTAAGACAATTACTCTTAAAATGAATGTTGTGGGAAAATCGGTGTGTTAACTGTTCACACTTTTTTTCCTGAAAATTGGAAATTGGAGGAATATAGCCTCAAAATGTTGAGGCTTAATTGGATTCTGTATAAAAATTTTATTAATTGGACCTTTGCATTATTTTTGTACAAGTTCCCATACTTAAAAGATGCACAAGGAAAATGAAAAGTAAGATTTGATTGGAGTGTGTTTATGTGTAATGTTTTGCATGAACTTTAGAGAGAGTAAAAATCTCATCTTAAGTGAAAGCAGCACAATTTAGAGCAGCTGAGAAGTGAGGGTGGCCCCTGGTTTGCTTCTGATACAGCCCTTGAATCTGCAGAACTTTGTGGAGGTCCTCACCCAACCCGTCAGTATTCCTAGCTATTGCACTTGAAAGGCAGCATATTCAAGGGGGTTTTAATGTGTATTTTGTTTAAGCAATTTTTTTTGTATAGAAATTATGCTGAACAATATCATTCTAAAGAGTGTGCAATTCCATGTTGTTGCCAGTGACCACTGCTAATCAGTTTTTGATGCATTTCTGAACCCACTAAATAAAGAACAAGAGTCAAAATGAAAAAAATACAGCATAGAGAAACTGAATCCTTTCTGAAATGCAGATGCTATATGAAATTTTGCTTACATAAATCATGCTCCACATTGCTGGCAGGACAGGATGGTTGGAACATCTTGCAGCTTCCATAGCCTGTCCTACTGCAGCCCTACTCCCATCCACCTTTTTATTTATTTTATTTATTTATTTTTTTTATTGCCACAACAATGTCATTGAAGCTGCATTCTCCGGGCCCATATCTCATACCAAAAGCATCCTGCTGTGGGTCGCTGTGAAACCAGAGTGGGATGCCAGATCCCAGGGAGGCAGCTGGGCAGTGCAGGAATTCTGATGTGACAGAGATGAGAGCTCCTGGCTGCCCTGCTTGCCGCTCTGTGCATGACGAGCACCTCAGATGAGGCACTGTGACAGTAAAAATAGCTAATTGTAACAGTAAATCATTCCATCAGATGCTTTGCACTATGCTGAGGAATTTTCCTTCTCACTGCAGGAATTTATTTAAGGTTGTTTTTTTTTTTTTTACAAACCAACGCTTGATCAATGTGTTGGATGGGCTCCTGTCACTGCTGTTCCAGAGACTGCTTGGCTGAAGAGGAGGTTGCTGTGCTGCCAGACAATCTTTCTTTCTCTTTTATGTAGTGGTAGTTCTGTTTCTGCAAGTAATTCTTCCTCTGGGTTTTCATTTTTGCTTCTTTGAGGACAATTATTTCTCTGCATGCAGTGCTCCTCAAATTCCTGCCAGCTTTCTGGTTCCAGCCAGCATTTTCAAAGGGTTTTGACATTTATTTGCTTTTTTGTGTGTGTGCCCACTGTGAGATATGTCTGGGTTTCTGATTTGCCTGATAGGAAATGCCATGAAGTTGTTAAAATGGGATCCAGACAAAGAACTGGCCTGAGAATTTGCTTGGGACTTCTGATAAGGGCTTGTAGGGTACACTGGGTTTTTTCAGGTGCTTCCTACCCTGTTTTGAATGCTGCTGCAGAAACAGCTGAAACATTCATTGATCACACCTGGTGCTTTTCCAGAAAACTTAGGTAGAGCAGAGACAGTCAGATGGTTGGTAAAATAGCATGGGATGACTTGTACTAATCACTTCTTGAAAACAGGCTGAAAGCACCCTAAAATCAAAGCATTAAAATTGCCTCAGCTGAGTAGAGGTTACTTTATGGCCTTGAGATATGCAGAGGAAAGCAGTAGTGTCTTTTGTTTTTCTCCATGGCCTTGGCTGATATGAGACGTTTGGGAAGGTCCCAGGAGCAGCTGAGCATGAGGAGATTGAAGGATCTTTGGTCCTACTGCTGTTTTCTGGGGAAAAAACGATGGTATTGGGAAGGGAGCTTGTGCTTAACCTCATCATAACGGCAAGATAGACTTCGACCCCAAATTTACTGATACATTTGTTATATTCAATGTCTGAAAATGTCTTTGAGTCTTAGGGGTCCACCCATGTAATTCCTGTGCAAAATTGGGTTTTGCTGATGAGGGCCCTGAGGCTGGTTTGCCAAAGAGAGATGACAGTGGTCCTTTCCTTGAGAAGAGAAAGCCTTTCCTTGGAGTTGCTGTGTGTATGGGTGGGCATATCCTGAAGCTGGTACTGAGGCTGCTTCCTGTCCCAGCCATGATCAGGAGCATGGGCTGAGCCCTGGACTGTAGCTCCAGCAGGGTTCATTGCAAAATGTGTGTTAGAGGTTCCCTCTGGCTTTCTGCCTGTCCAAAGGGACAGTGACACTTGCCCTCACCCTGCCCTGAGCACCTTTCTGCACTTGGACAATTTGACGTGACAATAAATTAGCAGTGCCTGGGTGCAGACAAGGTTCTGCCATGCAAGGCGACTCCTTCTCAGGGCTGTGCCTGCCCCAGCCCTGTCCTGCACAGGACACCCTGGGAGAATGTTTCTCCCTGCTAAAGGGGCCCAGGGCTAATATCCATCAGACTGCCAGGAATGTCCTGCTGTGCCAAGAAAAGCCTGCTTGGTGGAAGTTGCCCAGTGTCCTATTTTTAGAGGTGAACGTAATCGTGCAGAGCTTTGTCACCGGATTTGCTCGCTGTTATGTTCCCTGCGATCCCTGCTGAAGCAGGAGGAGCCATGAGGAGGCAGGTTCCTTGACTTTGGGATTTGAACTTGCTCTCCTCCTGCCCCACTGTGGTTTTCCTGTGGATTTTCGGTTCCTGGAACCAGATGGGCAGTGATGTGTGTCCAGCACTGACCTGCTGCAGTGGCCTTGGAGAATGCTCATGGCTTGTGGGGCTGAACCCTCCTGTGGTATCTCCATGGGGTGGGGGTCTTAAAGGGTGCTCCAACTCTGGGCATATGTCCTCATTTCCTTTCCAGACTTTCTTGAGAGTCCCTGGAGGGAGGAGAGGATTCAGTCAGCCAACCAAGATCACACAGACTCCTAAACAGTGTCAAACTTGAGTCCTTATTTCAGCCAAAGATCCAGGAGGGAGAATACCAGGGAATGAGTCCCTGTAATAAATTTGAGTTTAATTGTCCTGAAGTGTGTTCTCCAAAGTACATCTAAAATAAATTAACAGAAAACTTAACCAAAATACTTTCCTTGGTCTTCTTGAAGATGCTTAAGTGATGGAGGGTAACATCTGCTCAGGATATTCTGTAGGTCTTTATGGCAAGTCACTTTGATGAAGCAAAAAAAGTGGGGATTTCAGGGTTATAAATATGGAGGAATCTCTTCTTCTTTCCCAGATGGAGTTTGTTGGAGTGAGCCAGCTGTCATTCATCCATGACCTGGGACCGAAGGGCATGTGAGTTGTGAGCTGTGTCTTTGTGAGCTATGATTCACTAGGAGCGTGGCTTTATACATAAATACTGTTAAAATTAATAGCTTTCCTTTCTCAGCACTAACTGGCTGGGGAATATTTTGCCATCTAGATATAAAAAATTACTACTCTTCAGACAGAAATGCTACAATTTGGAGAAATGGTTTTGAGAGTGGGCTGCTTTGTGCGACAGCGCTTACGGGGTTTCCTCCATTCCCTCGCTGTTGAGCCACTTAATTTTCTGCTTTCTGTGCTGTAAACTGGGACCCTGTGCTTCTTAAAACTCTATTATTTTCTTCTGGGGGGGTTATTTTTGCCCTTCATCCAGCTTTCAGGGTACAGCACAAAGGCTGCTTGAGCACAGTTGGAGGTGACAGGAGCCAGCCCTAGGCACAAGGGCTGGGTGTTCAGCAAGCACCCCTTCCAAATCCCTCCTGCACCTCCGGGTGAGGCTCATTCCCCACCCTGACCCTGTTCCTGTCCTTGCAGAGAAGGGTTCATCATGAAGCGCTCCGGGGGCCACCGCATTCCTGGCCTGAACTGCTGTGGCCAGGGGAGGATGTGCTACCGCTGGTCCAAAAGGTACTGCTGGGCTGCCACGGGGGGGGGATGCCACATGCTCCCTGGGCACACCAAAATCCCCCTTTGTCTTTTTCTCCCAAAAAAATCTGTGAGAGAATCTTGCTTTCTTTACAAAAGCCACAGATTTCCAGTTTGGAAGAGCCTGTGGGCTATTCCCTGCTTCACCCTTCTGTGTGGTGGGTTTTTTTTGATCCTTTGGAGTTCCCAGAAGGGATGTGTTACTCCAGGGAAAATCTAGGATTTCCTAGAGCTGACAGAAATGGCAGTGACCTCCCAGACTGTGCCCAGCTTTCCCTGCTGCAGGAGCACATGTGGCTCTGTGCCTTCAGAAGGGAATGTGGCTGGTGACCTGCCCCAGGCAGATTTCAGCCTGGCTTTCTGAGCTTCCCTTCCTCAATTTACAAAATGAAAATCAATTAATTGAAACACTCTTTGCACTGCTTCAGGGCAGGATAAAATCAGACGTGACCTGCAGCACTAAGGAGTTGTTTGGTGCAATTAACCTTGGCATTAAATACATTTCCTCTTGCTTATTACTGCAGGTATTGAATTCAATGTTTTATCCTGTTCCCATGTCCCTTCCTGCTGCAGACAGACATCATTTGCTGTTCCCATCCCTTTACCCTCTGTGTTAGGTCTCAGTGTTGCCAGGGGCTGGGAGATGTGTGCTGTGGGGGAGTACCTGTGTTACCAGGCAGCCTCCAAAAAATGCAGGGTGTATTTCCTGGAGCATGCCCTTCCCAGGCAAATCTTTCCATTTGAAAATCTAAATAGCCATATCTGCCTTGCAGCAACAATTTCTTAGTCGATGGAGCTTCCCCAAGCATTATGCACCTTTGGATTTTATGATCATCTGTGGGCTGTCATTCGTTTTGTCTTTAATAGTTTTGATTTCTAACAAAACCTTTCTGCAGTATTGTGAAGAAAAGGTTCTCTTTCTGCACAATCTTTCCAACATTTTTTAATTTAGGTTTACAGAAGATTTTTATAATGAGGGCACAAGGAGATAAAGATGTGACTTTCTTTCAGGTCAAATCATTAAACCATCACAAATTCTTTTCCTTTTTTATGGGAAAAAATTCCTTTTCCTCTTGATACTCCTCAGTTAACCTTTTCTTATGTTGTCCAGAGCTCAGACTGTAGTGGGGACAGTAGCACATCCAGCTCTGATGGATCTCCATTTTTCTTTAGAGCCTAGAAAGGTTGTAGGAGAAGTGTTTGAGTGGGATTGTGTGCAGAATATCACAAGTGAGACACTACATTCCCATCTTGGCCCACGGGGACTGATAGTTTATGCATCAATAAATAAGCAAATAACAGTAGCATTTCCCAGAGAGGATTATTTAGGGGAAGGATTTTGGGACTTGGAGGAGGATAGTGGGGTAAAGCTGTGAATGGGCACAGGCAGGACTCCTCAGGCATGTAGAGCTGCCTGCGAAAAACAGAAGGGAGAATATTTGAAAATATACCCTGTGGGATGTTTAAGAGTGAAATTGTGGGCCACATAGAGGGGGGGGTATTTTGGCACCAAGTTAGAGGTGATGCCAGGTAACTCTTTCAGGGCCCTGGAAGCAAGAAAAGAAATTATGTGATCTAATAAAAAATTAGGGGGAGGAGCTGAGGCTGTTACTAAAGATACAAGAATGAACAGATTTTTGCTGTGTTTTGTGCTGCTTTGTGTGTTTCTGGGTGTGCAGAAGAATGAGGCAAAGGTCTGGTGATGGAGACCTGTGTGGGACAGAGGCTGCTGGTTACCCCAGCTACGCTGCAGGGGGAGAAAAAATTAGAAATGCCATTCACAGTAAAAAATGTGGTTTTTTCCCCAGAGTTGCCTTCAGGCTACAGTATTTATGTAAAACCTGCTGGTCATCCCTCCTCATGTGTTTCTAACAGGGTGCCTGTTGCTTGGCAATAAAAGCTTTCCAAAATGACTTGTTCATATATTTTGATAGAAGTGAAAGTGATCCTAGCATCAGAATTAATGTTAGAAATGTCAAATAACTCCCATATAGCATACAAGCTGAATAAAAATCAGGGATGGAGGAATCGTTGTTGCACCTTGCCTCGTGCTCAGAGGTTTATGACCAGGAAGGTTCTCATGGGTTTTGCTAAACAAGGGAACCTGTATCTTTAAAAATTCCTGTAAAAAAAGAGTTATTTAATACTCTAAAAGTTCTATATTCAATTAAAACTCATTACCCAAGTTCATAAAATAGACACTTTCCTGCTCAAGAAAACCACCCACTGGCCTAGCTCCTGAAAATAATTTTTACCATTTAGTAGATTTCCCTGATAAATGATTTGCACGTTTTTTGAAGAAGCACTTTTCCATTTTATGAGCTCTTTTTGTGGCTCATGTTTTGAGACCTGGCATGGGTGTGAAATCCAGGTGACATGATTGCTGTGTCTGTACAGGTGGCTGGTGGTGAAGGACTCGTTCCTGATGTACATGAAACCTGATTCAGGGGCCATTTCCTTTGTCCTGCTGGTCGATAAGGAATTCAACATCAAAATAGGCCAGAAAGAGACAGAAACTAAATACGGGCTGCAGATTGACAATCTCTCCAGGTAAGAAAATAACTTTGTTTATCCTCTTTTAGTTTGATTTGGCTTTTTTAAGGAGGAATCGATGCTGCTCTGCAGGAGGGGTTAACAAGCCCGGGTGGCTGTTGCTGGTGTGCTCAGACCTGCTGGGGATTTGGCCCTAATGCTGATTATTTCCCATGTCTTAATGAGGCGTTTGGAGCCTGTTTGTCCATCCCTGTGGTTATTGCTGGGTCCTGGGGCATGGTGCATGCTGAGTTGCACAGTCTGGTGTGGCAGTAATTGCTTAGGTAATTTTTTAGGCACTCTGTTCTCTTTATGCTGCAAGCAGGGATGTTTTCTTCTGCCTCCCAATGGAGTATTACTCAAAAGACATGCTAGTGGGGGATAAAGAGATATTTAATGTTTTTATGTTAGTGCACAGTATAAATTCATCTCTTAAAAATACAACATTAGCTGGCTCCAACTCCAAGTTAAACCGGTGCTAATAATTTAAACATGGGTGGGTTTTTTTGTGCTTGGCAGTGCAATGCTGTTAGTCACTCAGAGCAGCTCGGTGCTGAGCATTCTTTTGCAAACAAAACAGCAAAGTCCCTGTTTCTTGTGTAAATAAAATATGACTGGTACAGATACATTTACCAACACGGACAGGCAGCGATGAGCAGCCCAATTAAATGGAAATGGCTTCAGCCTCCTGCCCTGTGCTCTTCCAGGTCGCTGATTCTGAAGTGTAACAGCTACAGACATGCCCAGTGGTGGAGGCAGGGCATAGACGAGTTCATCCGGAAGCACGGCAAGGACTTTCTGACGGAGCATCGCTTCGGCTCCTACGCGGCCGTGCAGGAGAACACCCTGGCCAAGTGGTGAGCACCTGTTACCTGTCTTCCCTCAGCACCCCAGCTCTGATGGACACAGCTGGTAGCCTTTGCTAGCTGTGGAGACTGGTGGTAATTAAAGGAGTTGCAAAAAAAATTTTTAAAAAATGAGGCTTTCTTCGCAAGGGATGGAGTAGCAGTGCTGGTGACTGGAGCTCTGTGTCACAGCTCGTTGTGTTTTGCAACGTCGAGTTTCGTTTAAATTCAAATGTGTTGGGTGTTTGTCATTGTAAGGATGAAGAAAAGAAAAAGGAATCAACAAATGCAGACCTGGGTATAGTTGGAGGGTGGCTGGGCTTTATGCACACAGCAGTCCCTGAGAAATCCTTCTGTCCCCAGTGTAACCTGACTGCACTAATCCATTCCCAGAAGTGCCTCAAAAACTGGATTCTAGCTGGAAGCAGACCAGTGCTTTCCCTGCAACGTCTGCCTTGCAACAACCTCTGCCTGAGTACTTTCCATAAATCAAAGGAAACACCATTCCATCATCCTTTCCTGAGAGACAAACCTGGCTTGCATGTCAAACAGAACCCAGGAATATTGTGTGAAGTTGGCAGAAGTGCCAAGAGTCACCTAATATTGCCTTAATGTGCTGTTTCATCAAGCTACTGGTAGCAGCATTGAATTCTCCCTGCGTGTTCTCCTGATTCTGGAAATTAGGATTGTGTTTGTTTTTGAGAAGAGAACATAAATGTCATTAACACGGAACCCCATCGTTTTCAGCTGTGTACTTTGCTTAATGAAGGGGAGGAGGCATAACTCTGCTCTCTGTTTGCTTTTGCAGGTATGTCAATGCCAAGTGGTACTTTGAAGACGTTGCAAATGCCATGGAAGCTGCTAAGGAAGAAATTTTCATCACAGATTGGTGGTTCGTACTGACATGTTTGGGTGTTGCCCAGCTCTCTCTCCGGGGACACTCCTGACAATGCAGCACTGTTTGGAGCCCTACAGTATGGCAGCTAGCCCTGCAGCCAGATGGTTTGGCAGCACACCCAAACCTCTCCTTGTGTTGTATTCAAAGGCCTTTTCAGGAGGGCTGGCAGCAAAAGCACACGCTTCAGATCAACAGCTTGGTTGTCTCCCTCCACGGAAATGCCTCAAACTGCACGGAGGCACCACCTGAACTGCAAATGTGGTGGCTTGAGGGGCTCCTCAGGAGTGTAATTAGCTGCAAAACTGAGGGGCATGGGTGTCTTTCAGTGTATCAGGGAGCAGGGATGCTCAGCAGTGCTCTTGCCATGGGATTCTGCATGGGATCCTCTTTCAGCTCCTCTTCACTGCCTTGGAAAGCCTCATGCCAGTGGTGAGAGCATCTTGTGGGTGTGTGCCTTTGGTCTGCTCTATGCTCATGGATTCCCCTTATGCAACATCAGGTGGCAGTTCAAAAGCATCCCGTTTCAGACCCATTGTCTCTTACTTAGTGTTTTATTCAGACAATTGTTAAAGTATCATGGAATTCCAAAATTTACCTAGGTCTTGATATATCAAGTTAAAAATAGGATGTAGCAATATGCTTTATCCAAGCCCAAGTTGCCATGCTTGGTACAAAAATAAAGGAATTAATTCTGTCACCTTGCTATGCAGGAGTTAGATGGAGGTTGCTTAACTGTTTCTTGTAATCTTTAAAGCAATAAAATGTCCTGTTGAGAGATCCTATTGCTTTGTCTTTAGGCAGCAAGGAAAATTCAGCACAAATTTGTTTTGTTCAGATAGCTCAGGTACCTGGAGAACTGAAATCCCACTCTTCTTTATTTTTTATGTCTGCATATTTCTTTCAGTTCTACCTCAGGGTTTTCTTTTGTTGCATCTGTCTTTCAGAGATACAGTCCAAATTTCCCTATTTATACATCACTGTTCAGCTTGGTCTCGTGGGTTGTTGAATATGAAGATGAATGTGCTTGGACACGTCCTCTGCCCTCTGTAATGCTCAGTTATTAAAGAACAAAGAGCAGGATATTGGAGAATGCATCACTCTGGGACATGAGCTTTCACATCCACTTTATTTAAACTTCAATTCCTTTGCTTCCCAAGTTGGTTATTTAGGCAGGTGCTTGCTTTGTTTGCAGGCTACATCTGCTGTGTTTTTTATATACCTTTGTTTTCTTTAGGCTGAGCCCAGAAATCTTCATGAAGCGACCGGTGGTGGAAGGGAATCGCTGGCGGCTGGACTGCATTCTCAAGAGGAAAGCAGTGAGTGAGCTCCAGCTGTACCCTTCCTCTGCACCCACCCAGCCAGGGGGTCATACTGGGGCTGGAGCACTTCCACCATTCACTTTGGTAGAGATGAGAGCTAAAGCCCTTTTCCAGATGGCCTTGGAAAAACACATGTTTTGATTTGTTCCCCTTGTTTGGGTTTGGAAGAGCTCAGAGGCAGAAGGGTAGATCCTCTTGATTGCCCCAGGTTTGGGTCACTTCAGCCTTGCTTTACAACTTGCCTCAGTTCCTGGTAGGTCAAAGCCTTGTTTTACAACTGCTCTAGTTCCTGGCAGGTCAAAGACCTGCTGCTGTCCATGCTCTCCATGTGATTTATGTAATTTAGAGGTACAGGGAAGGCTGAGCACTTTGTGGTGTGTTTATGAGTGTGGGCTGTGCTCCAGCTGTTTACATACCCTGTGATAACACCAGTGCTGAAAAGAGCTTGCCCATATCAGCAGCGAGTCACAAGGCTTATTCCCATGGCTGGGAAACTTCTTGAACTCTTGCTGTAGTTGAAGGGCAGAAGTCCACATGGATACAGACTTAAACTAAAAGGCGGCAGGTTTAGATTAGATATTAGGAAGAAATTCTTCCCTGTGAGGGTGGTGAGGCCCTGGCACAGGTTACCTGAGAATCTGTGGCTGCCTGATCCCTGGAATTGTTCAAGGCCAGGTTGGATGGTACTTTGAGCAACCTGGTCTAGTGGAAGGTGTCCCTGCTCATGGCTGGGAGTGGAACAAGTTGTCCTTTTAGTTCCCTTCCAACCAAAACCATTCTGTGATTCTGTGACATGCTGAAATAGTCTTTGGCTCTCTCCCCTTTGAAGCCAGTTGTCATCACAGTCCTCACCCCTCCACATACCTAGATAAAACATGAGAGCTTTGTGTCTGACTGCTGTTGATTTGGAATGACTCTTATTTTCTGGCAAAAATAAACTGGCCACAAGGCATCACTCACTCAAAGGAGGAATTTGGCTTCTTTTTATCACTTTGACATGGATTTTCTTATGGCCATAAAAACTTTGTGATAGGTGAGTGAGATCAGCCCCTGGAAATGCTTGCTCTGTCACTTGTGTTTCTTTGACTCAACAGGGCAGTCAGCAAGCTGATGTCATGGTGTAGGGGTGAGGTTGTCCTTTCTATTGTGTGCAGTGTTGCCTTGGACTCCCTTGGGTGCAGTGGAGATCCACAATTTGGAGATTGCCCTAGCTCTTGGTAGCAGCTTCATGGGAATAGGAATTTAAAAAAAAAAGTTTAGATTCCAAGTTTAAGCTGGCAAACTCTAGTGCAAGCTTCTAATCCATGCTGATTTATGGGAAGTGGAGGTGTCCCAGTTTATGACCAGTATTTGCCAAGGTTTGGGAGGCACTTGGCACATTTCAAAATGCTTTAACAAGTTCTTAGAAACCCTGCCATGGATACGATGCTAGTCACAAAAAGCACCATGTTTTTAGCACTGTTCAGTGTATTCCAGGAGCTTGTTGATCTCTACCAGCAGAATGAACCTCCTTGATGGTGTTGAGTTGGTGACACCCCTTCAGGAAGGGGATGTCAATGTGTCCTCACTGTGTCATCCTGCAGGGACATTTAACCGTGGGCAGCCCTTAGGGTAACATGAAGCAGCAGAACACTGAACTTTAGTGGATGAACATGATTGGAGTGAATCATGCTTGCAAAATCTACCTCAAAGGGTGTGTAAAAGGAGCTGCTGTAGGAATGACTTGTGGATGGGCCTCGGCATGGCTCATCAAAAACAACAAAACCCACACAAACCCAGGTACTGAGCCCTTCTCAGAAAGCTGAGAGCTTTCCCAAGCAGGCTGGTCCTGCCAGTCTATGGGGTCCTCAGGGAGGATCTGGAAGAGCATAGCCAAGAGCAAGTAACTTCAGTCAGCATTTCCATCAGCAGACACAACACATTTACTGCCTCTTAGCTTTTCCTCCCTTTGGAAACAGACTGTATCCACTGATGTGCCTGCATTCCATGCGTTCTTTTTTTATTTCTGACAGCAACAAGGAGTGAGAATTTTTGTTATGCTGTACAAAGAGGTGGAGCTTGCCCTGGGGATCAACAGTGAATACAGCAAGCGGACACTCATGCACCTCCATCCAAACATCAAGGTAATTGCACAGGGCTGTGTGGAGGGTGTTTGCATTCAATTATTCTTGATGGCTTGTGCTGACCCCGGTGTACTTGGGTGGGAACTGCAAGTTCAGGAATGTTTCCCACCACTGCAGTGGGAATAGTCTGACAAGACATACCCATATAGTGACTGCCACATCTGGCAACTTCATTTCTTTAGGTTCTAATGGAACATAAAATTACTTAGTTTAGATTTGCCAAAGCAACTATTTACCTTAATTCATGAGACATGTATTTCATGTGACAAGTTAATGGGGTTACATCAAATGGAAAATTAAAACTTGAGAGTGTTGTCTCATTTCAGCACTTCTGCTCAAATGTAAATAATGAGAGTCAACACTGGGTGTTAATGTTCTCACCACAGAAGAACAGCATTCCACTGTCCTGTGTTGTTACACTGCTGTTCTGGCACCAAGCAGAAGATCAGTTGTGGCAAACAAACCAGTAGATAAAGCTAGATCCAGTCTCTTAGAGACACATACACCTTAATTAGCAGCAAGATACTTGTTATGCTAGAATAATTGATTTATTTTCACTTGATCAGTTGTCACAGTGAAGGGAAGTATTCATTCATCATCTTTGTAGAAAAAATGGACAATACACACAAGCTGTGTCACAGGTTTTGGGAGCAGCCAAGTGAAACTTGGTAGCTTTTTCTCCAGGAAGCTGGTCTAGTGGCTCTAACATCATAAATAAAACTCTAAGCTTAGAAATTAGGGTTCTGTAGACACTTGTCAAAAAGAAATTCTAAACAAATGCCAAACAACTTGATTTTAAGTGGGGGGAAAAAATCACCCGACATCTCATTTCACTTGTGTGGTGGCAACAACCAAAGAAGTGACTCAGATCACCAATATGTTGTTTTCTCTCTGAGCAGGCTCTGTGTTTGAAAGCTCAGCTATTACAGCTCAGCTGAAGCAGTTTCTTTGACTGTGGTCCTCTTGTGAAACTGTTGTAAGGGCGACCTATCCCAATATCAGTAACCATTGCTGCCTGGGATTCCTGCATCCTGGGGAAATGCCTGCCATATGGGAGACACCAGCTATGGGGAAATTGAGTAGCTTCCAGTAACAACTCCATCATTTCCCCATCACCCCAAAAAAAGCCAGATCAGCTCTCTGTCTGGAAAGATTTAAAATTTGACAACAATGCTGCGCTCAAGTGCTGCTTTCCTCACAGGTGATGAGGCACCCAGACCACGTGTCCTCCTCCGTGTACCTGTGGGCCCACCACGAGAAGCTGGTGATCGTTGACCAGTCCGTGGCCTTCGTGGGTGGCATTGACCTGGCCTACGGGCGCTGGGACGACGACGAGCACCGCCTGACCGACGTGGGCAGCGTCAAGCGCGCCTCCGCCGCCAAGTCGGTGTCCACCGCCAACCTGGCAGTAAGTGGGCTGGCTCCAGCTGCTGGCCACGGTCAGCCACAGCAGGGCTGGGGCAGGGCCGAACAGGCTGTGTCCTCTCCTGAGCTTAGGGTTGGGTTTTGGAGCTTTAATGACAAATAAGTGATGAGAGGAATGATCTAAACATCAAACGACTCTTTAGGGCTAGGTGCTGATAAGCCCCTGCTAGGGCACAGAGATAAGAGAGATGGGTTTCTCCTGGAGCTTGGAACAGCAGCCACAATTTGAAGTCTGTGTTCTTAAAATCATAGAATCTTAGAATGGTTTGGGTTGGAAGGTCATGTAATTCCTACCTCCATCATGGGCAGGAACACCCTCCACTTCCACTAGACTGGGTTGCTCCATGTCCTGTCCCATCTGGCCTTGAGCACTTCCAGGGCTGGGGCGTCCACACTTCTCTGGGCAACCTCTCTTTTCTTAACAAAACTTAGAAATGCAGAGTAAGCACTTGCACAGTGCTCTGTAATGTTTGTTGTTTGTGCCCTCTGCAGCTGCTTTGTTTGCTGAGCTTTTTGCTAATCTGGGTCTGTATGCAGCCACATGTCTCCAATAATTTGAGAGGTCTAGGTTGATGAGAATTTCAAGGGGAGTAATAATCCAGAGTAAATTTATGGATCCAAGTGCTGCTAATATTACTAGGCTTTCCTGGCGAGTGCTTTCTCAGCACAGACTCTGCCCAGAAAGCAGTGGGGATGGACTACATGCCACAGTTCCCACCAAAATGTGTCTGTCACAGAGCAAAATTTGGCTCATGGTTGTTTCTGAGCACTGATCTGCACAAGAATCTGTAAAGGGAAACTTCTTCATACCTGACCTGCAGCCATGTCTTGTGTCTTTTAAGTCTGCAGCAGAGTCGACTGAACATGTCCCGCTTCAGCCTCAAACTCTGGTCCCAGAGAGCCACTTGATTGAGAGAAATGCTGATGATGCCCCAGACACATCAAAAATGAAAGGAGTAGGGAAACCCAAAAAGTTTTCGAGGTTCAGCATTTACAAGCACCTGCACAAGCACGGCATGCACCATGCTGACAGCGTCAGCAGCATCGACAGTGAGTCAAGTAAGTGATGCTCAGCTAAATAATGTATATAAAGGATGTGTGGAGGTGGATGGGTAGGTGTATGTGCACGTTCACATGATTTCTAGGGCAATGTGTTCTTTGTGTTTTTTGGAAGGAAAGTTGACAAGTTACCTAACTATCAGAATAATAGCTGTGTGTAATCAACATGTAAATTTGTGTCACTGCAAAATGGAGAAGAAAGGTTTAATGTAGATTTTTTATTTAGCTAATTAGAATTTCCATGAGCCATCAGATCATGTGATACAGTGTATGTGATTCTTAATGTTTGTATTGTTGGAAAGTGTTCGTTCCTGTAAGAGAGAATTGAATCTTTCATTTTTCAACTTGGATTTATTATAACAAGCAAATAATTTCTGAATGAGATTATCCTGTCTTGTAGACTAGTGTTAAAAGCTAGGTTTTAAATAAGTTCACTTAAATGGAAATATTCTAAATTTACCCACTTACTAGAGAGGAAAGTCTGTTCAACAGTTGAATATTTAAATGCATCTTTTAATTCCCAACATTAAAGATAACTTTAGTGCCAAAAATTACAAGGATCAGCTTGGCAATTGTTCCAGAATGAAATTCTTCCTGGAAGTCCTCGGCTCCTGGAGATGAGGGAATTTACTGGAATTTTCATCCCCTCCCTGCAGATCTTTCTCTTGCCTCTGGCTCCTTATGGGGAGCAGTCAGCTCAGGACACAGCCATGGCTCTGTACTTCATTGCATCTGTTTCAGTTAAAACCAGCTGGGTCCTGAATTTGGTCCTTTGCCTGGCAGTCACTTTTTACAGCAAACTGATGTCTGGTTTGAGTTCCTGTCTGCCAGGTGTCTTCAGACAGGAGCAGGCACTAGGGTGGCAGAGGTGGACATGTTTTTGCCATGAGTAGAGCATCTTGACTTTCTGCAGGTTACTCTAGCCCCACTAGGAGCCAACCGAATATAATCCAGAGTTTAAGGCCCCATCTGAAAATGTTCCATCACCACAGTGAATCCAAACAGGGGCTCGCTGAGCCTCGGGAGGGTAAGTGAAGGAAGGCAGTGCTGTGGACCCCTTCAGGCTTTAACTGCTGTTGTTTTTGCATTATAGCTATGGTGAGAGTGAGGTTGGGTGCCAGGATCAGCCTTCACTGCTTGTTGTTTTCCCAGCATCCTTATCCCTCCTCTGTGGGCATCCTGGTAGAACAGCCTTCTCCAGAAACTACAAATACTGCAACATAAATAAGAATTAAAAACCCCAAAACAACAAATCAAAATGAAGCAAATGAGCAAACAAAAAATTTGCAATAATGACAGCAGGGAACAGTTGCAGAAATAGTTCTGATTCTGGTATATGATGATTTCAGCAGCTCTCATTCTGTAAAGGAAAAAGCTGTTACTGGAACTGGGAAGTTCTGTATTGGATGTTTTTAAAGTGAGCCTGATGCAGGAAGACATGCAAACAGAGAGAGGAAGCAGCAGAGGGGCTGCTGCCGGTCCTGTGTTTGGACAAAGACTTGGGTCCCCTCTTTTGCTTCTAATGAAAACCAAGGAAAGCATACTCATTTGAGACAGGAGTTGGGTGGTTGTGAGCACTGAGCTGTTCCTACCTCTGGACTGGTGTTGGAAGGGCCTGTCCCAGTGTTGGTACCTTTCCAAGATTCCTTTGTGTTCAGTAATGGAGTGAGGAGCAGTTCTTCAGCATCATCCTCTTGCAAACATCTTCCTCTAAGGCATTAATTGCCAATTATAAAATATTACTTACAGAGTATGGCAGGCAACAAAGCATTTCCATGTCTTTGTGGAGACAACGTGCAGTCTCCCCTGTGCCTTCGTGCTCACTCATGAGTCACTGTGCAGTCATCAGAGCACAGGGAGCGTGTGCTGGCCTGTGTCCCACACATGCCCATTCCCACCCAGCATGTCGAGTCAGTGATTCCCCAGCTCCACCTGGACTCTCACTAGAAGCTGGAGCTTCTCAAGGCAGCTGTGGTGCAAAGCTGCTGCATGGCATTTTTGGCATGGCTTGGCTCGGCTCGGCGGGGTCACAGCGATGCTGGCAGGGCTTGCTTTGTGTCCCCTGGTCTTGTGCTGTTGCCAGTGTGTGTTTTGTTGACTGTTCAAAGTTGGTTTTTCTGTGTGCTAAAGGGTTTTATGGTTACCTGGTGGCGTGGTTGGGTTAGTAGGAGGTTTCTGCTCGTGGTATTGCTGTATAATTACTGTGTTAGTATTTGGTGTCACAGATGAAGGCTGCTCTCAGGGTCAGGAAATAACAACAGTTAACTGTTCATGGTCTAGGCTAACATTTTTGGATTTTTTTAAGAGTGAGGAAAAAGAGTTCACTGTCCAAAAATACGTGTTCTGGAAAAGGGATCCTGTTAGGAGGGAATATCCCCGCATACAATATTTTAGACCATTTTTAATCAACACGAATTTGGAATTCAGGATCCATTCGTTCAACATGTAAAATTGTATCAAAAATGACACTGCTATTTGGAAAAAACAAAATAATATTAAGAAAACCCACAATACTTCATGAGGGAACATACATGAACATTTCATTCTAGATAATAAATAGTACTTCTATTAGAGGAGATAGACCCTGCTAGTGAGGCCAAATAATAAACTCTCTAGCAGAGAAAATGGAATTAGTTCACTATTAATGTAAAATATATGAAGCAGATGATATACATAATGTGGACTGCCATATGGGAATATTTAGTTGTTATTGAACAGGGGAAAGGCAAATGGTTATAGGGTGATGTAGTCCAAGATAAATTCAGCATCTGTTTTTCATTTCTATAACAGACTCTTATATAGAGCCTCTTCTGATTGTATAAAAAATACTAAAATAAGGAAGAAAAATTACTAACATATCCCTTGAAAGTAAGGGGAGGACTGGGGAGAAATCAGCTTCAGCTGCTTGGGACTGGCACGTCCCACCAGTGCTGTTCCATGGCTGTGAGTCTCTCACTGCTGTGTGCAATGGATGGCCCTGACTTTGGAGCATGTTTTTGTTTTGTTTGCCTGGAGCAGATAAAGGATCCATCCGTAGCCTGAAGACAGGTGTTGGAGAGCTGCTTGGAGAAACCAGGTTCTGGCACGGAAAAGACTATTGCAACTTTGTTTTTAAAGACTGGGTTCAACTCGACAAACCTTTTGCTGGTGAGTGGGAGTCTTTGCATTCTCCCAAACTTTCTTCTGCACTTTTTCAATCTCAGATCGTATTTTTCCTGCCTCCAAGCCAGAGGTAACAAAGCTGGTTTAGTTTGGTTGCTAGGAAAAAGCAGCAAAACTCCCTTTGAGGGGTTTTAGAGCCAATTGTGCTGTTGCAGTCCAAGTCACCTGCCTCGGGGCTGCTTGATGCCATGTCCCAGAAACCTCAGTGTGAGGAGGGGGAAGCTTTTCTACATTCCTGTCCCTTATCTGAGGAAGTTGAACCATACTCCCCTGTGTCCCAGACTTCATTGACAGGTACACCACGCCAAGGATGCCCTGGCACGACATCTCCTCCGTGGTGCACGGCAGAGCCGCGCGCGACGTCGCCCGGCACTTCATCCAGCGCTGGAACTTCACCAAGGTGGGTGTGGGTGTCACTGCTGGGGGCATGGAGCTAAGCACAGCCTTGCCTCATCCCCCTGCCCTCTCTAGGCATCTGGCTTATTTCCTTGTTCTGATAGGTTGCAAGCATTTTTTCTTTATCTGTTTCAAGCATTTTTTCTTTATCTGTTTCAAGCATTTTTTCTTTATCTGTTTTTTCTTTCCCCCCCGTGCAGATTATGAAACCCAAATACCGGTCCCTGTCCTACCCATTCCTGTTGCCAAAATCTCAGCAAACTGCTCATGAATTGAAGTATCAGGTGCCTGAGGCTGTTCCTGCCACAGTCCAGGTGGGTGTTGATGGTCTCCTGCTCCCATACTCCTCAAAGGGCTTGTTCTGCATCCTCCCAGGAAGTTTGAATGCCGACAGACCCTCTGCAGAACTTGAATTAGAAGATGCAAAACTCTTATCTAATTCAACTCAGATTAGGTGATCAGATCAGAATTGCAATAGAATAATGCAACTCTTTTAGTAGAGAGGCATTAATTTATATCTTCACCTTAGAGGTAAGGGGACTAAAGTATATGCAGTAATCAAATGGTGGGAACACTGTGACTTTGCATACTGTTGTGGTTTAATGGTTTGTTTTCTGTTGCTCTTCTTCTAACACCTAACATTTGGGCTTTATGATTTGAGAAGGCCTGATGGGTTGAGGTTACCCACTGAGAATTTATCTCAGATCTTAGAGCAGCCTGCCAGGCCCTGACGCCTCGCTCAGACGGGTGGTGGTCAGTAAGAGCCCAGCATTAAGTGGAGTCTTGTGGCGTTTTGCTTTCTGCCTTGTACTTCATCTGCACTTTATTATGCAGCCCTGCACCCTTGGGGGTTCTATGCAGTTCCACACAGTCAGCCCACAGTCTGATTTGTGACAATCAGTCTCACAGTCAGAATTGCCAAGATACCTCTGTTTAAAAGCCCAGTTTGCTCTATCAAGTGCACATACTTGAATACTGCTGTTACCCAGCAGAAATATGAACTTGTTGAAGAGTACAAAGTCAAAATAGTTATGCTGAAGCAGCAAAGCCATTGTGTGTCTCTGTGGATGAAAGATGTATGAAGTAAGAGCAGTTAGACCAAAACCAGGAAAAATGCATGACTATGCTCTTTGTAAGGAGTGGTCTGCCCAGATGACAGCACTGCTTGGGGAAGCTTAGTGAAATAAGATGCTTTTTTCTGGTTTTGTGGGTTTCCAGTGCATTGTCTGCTCCTCTCTGTGTGGTGTGAGGGATGGGCAGCACGGGGATCTTGTGTCAGGGGTCTGGGGTGTTTTACATCAGCCTCCAAAGCAAGGCTCCCAGCTTGCTGGGAAGTAGTCCCCTTTAGGCATCATCCTGTTCCCTGTGGCTGTTAATGCCTCCCTGTCTGTGTCTGACACCAGCTTTTTGGGAAATCTTGTTCTCATGGAAGTAATGGGGCTTGTGTCCCCTGAGCATGCTTTAACTGCAAGATAAGCTACAACTTCTGAATCACGGGGTTTACTGTAGCAAAAAGTTAAACTCTACTGATTACAGAACTGGAAACCGTTCCCAAAGGAGAAATTAAACTGAGAACAACCCAGATCCAGCTTCTCTTCAGTCCAGCTGAAGAGCTGCTGGCTCAGGGCATCAGGCCACGGGAGAGGAGGATGGAGCTCAAACGGTGACTGCAGAATCCACAGACGCCGGTGCTGAGTGCTGGGTGAGCAGTTGGAAAACCAGCCTGGCCACCACATTGCTGAGGCATTGCAAATAACTGATACATCAGGAAATGAGGGGCTGCTCTCAGTGATGTCATAAACAGCAAAAAGAGAGCAGGTTTGTCTTGTAAATTATTCATTTGAAACTACCTTGCTCATTTCACATTTATACATCTGCCAAAATAGCCGTGCATGTAGACAGATAAATAAAACTACATATTAGGCTGCAAATGCGTTGTCCTGAAATGTATCTGCCTTCCCAGTATGAGGGATAACTGGTGAGGGAGAGCATTTGCAGTGCCAAGCCTGGTGGAAGCAGTGAGGTGTCCAGGGTGGGGCACTCTGCCTGGGTGCAGGTCCTCAGGCTGCTTCAGCTGGTTATGATTTCTGGGTGACCTCCTCAAGCTCCAAGGCAGGGATTTGCATGTGCATAGTAAATTTTTGACTGTCTCCTCCCTAATACCCACAGTTGCCTGGTTTCCCTTGGTCCCACCGTGACACAAGTGACCTGAGCATCCCTGAAGTCACACTGCAAATCCTCAAGTGACTCAGTCTCTCCTCCTGATGGAGGTTTCAGATTTGGCTGCTGTTGGAAATGGAGACAGGGGAGGACACCTGCAGCCTGGATCTGAACTTCCCCTCCTGCTTGCCTTTTTCTGGAGCTCCCGGTTTGTGCATCAGGGCATCCCTGTGTGACTTCTCCTTTTCTGCAGGGACAGAAATGTCAGCCTCTTGCTTGTCCAGTTTATTCATTTTGGAGCAGAGGGCTCAGGTACTCACATCTCCTCTGAGTGGTACAGTTCTGAACAGAAATAAGCAGATATCCTAAAATCTTTTACCAACTTTTTATCCAGAAAAACTAGAGGCAACATTCTTGCTCTTTGTAGTATTGAACCCTTTGGCTGGCCAGCAGCCAATCCCTTGTAATCTCCTTTTTAGTACTGTGTAGGGATTTTATAGGCAGAAGTTACTGCCCCAAGGTAAAATCCAGCATCCCAGGACTGTCCTTGGCTGTGGGGTGATTGAGGAAAGCCTGGCTGTTGGATTTCTTGTCTCTGACCTTGTTTGCAAATCTGTCTTCAACTGTGGGCAGATCAGAGGAAGAGAAAACACAAAGGATCCTTGGGGATTGCAACATTGCTGCAAGCCCAAACCATTGACCTGTCAGCAACAGATTCCAGCCTCGTTGTACCATCTGGTTTTGCTCTCCTCTGTGAGAGGAGAGGAGTAGGAAAGCATTTCTGTGAGGATAAAGCACTGACAAGGGCTTTCCCCTGGGCAGGGAGGATGAATGCAGTGTATGTGGGAAACACTGTGGAGGTACAGGCTGGGAAGAGAAAAAGGAGTCAGGCATGGTCTCCCGTCCTCTTTCATTTGAACTTCGGGGCTTTGCTTGCAATAAGCAACATGACTTATTGCAAGAGCATTTTGATTCTTGCAGGAGTCAAATAGAGATCTGCCAAAGGCAGTGCCAGATTTTTTTCCACTATTTCATCTCCCTATTTCCACTCCAGAGTTTGCAGTTATCTGCCAAAGCCAGCGTTGTGAAAGACATGAGTGGTGAGGCAACATCCCATTCCTAATGGAAATGCAATGAAAGTTTAATGCTCTGGCAGCAGCTGACGCCCTCACCTCTTTGAAGTCTGGCATTGTTCAGGGTTTATGCACTAGCCCTCAGCAAACATCACATTTATTACCCTTGTATCAGTTAGAGAAGTTAAAGGGATGACAAGCTATTGAGAGGCTCAAGGGAGGGGAAGGGAGAGGCAGGAGCATGGATACTCCAGCTCTGGATGGGACGTGCTCTGCTGGGCAGCATGTGGCCTTTTCTCCCCAGGAAATAGGTTGGGTTAGAACCAGCTGCCTTTAAATACCTTGACAGGAAAGAGAGGTGTCCAGAAGTGTGAGACGGAACATCAGTGATAAGGGAAGGGCTTTGTAGCAAACTTCCAGGTGTGTGGGTGTGTGTGTCTGTGAGTGCCACAGCTTTGTCACCATGGAATGCTGCCTTGGTGGCATTGTCCTGTCCTTGTGGCTGCAGATCTGTTAAAAACAACTTTATTTTGAGGAAGTCCAAGATGAAACACCTTGTACTCATTCTTCTGTCCCATCCAATGTTTTCTGACACATCTTCTTCCCTTTGCAGCGGGATTTGAGGTTGTACCTGATGGGAGCTTTTTGGGTGGTGCTGGGCCAGCATTTTGGAATTGGCCATGACACATTATTCTGGGGTGAGGCAGAAGGATGATGGCACTGTAATAGGGGCAGCCTGGGGTGTGGGGTGAGCTGGGGTGCCAGTTATGTGGAGGGGTGAGGAGGAATGTTGGGAAGGGCAGGCGGATGATGCACTGGGAAGTCATGGTGCTGAAAAGGGATGGTCCTGTTGTGTTAACTAGGGGGAAAAAAAAAAAGAAAAGTTGAATATCAAATTTTGTGCACTAGAAAGCTACAATCTGCCACTTTTCTGAAATGCAGTTCCAGATTGCTGTGCTGTTGAGAGTGTAAGTGCTGTGAACTCCAGTCCAGGCTGTGTATGGAATAATTAGCCTGCTTTCTACCCAGGAAAACTGTTTTTTCTGTTCTTATTAATGCCAGTAACAGCTTATTAATGCCAGTGGTGGAATTTTGTTCAAGATCTCAGTCTGCCGTGGTGCTCAGTGTTGTTTCAGAAGAGCCCAGCTTGGGATGAGTGGGAACACTCAGCCTTAGCTTTGTAAACCAAATGAGTGATTAAAAACCTTTGGGAATGATCAGCATGGCCTTGCAGAGGCTTATGCAGACAAAGGGCAGCTGTTTGGCACTGCTAAAGGCTGTGACAGCCCTTTTATTCAGGCTAGCTCCTTCACTCCAACATTTGTGACCCCCAACACTCAGGTGAGGGAGACTTCAGAGTGCACCCTCCTGTTTGCCTAGAGAGCAGCTAAATATGAGAGTTGCAGGGCCGGTTTTTTACTGGAAAAAAAAGATATGGAAGAAAGCTCCTGTCCAGGTAAAGGAATTAGCTCAGGAGTCATCTGTTTAACAGCAGTGGTCCTGAGTGCCACCTCCAGAGATGATCTGGAGACAAAAGGATTGGTTTGGTTGATCCCAAGAGATCAGGATTTTGCTGCAACTGACACACACTTTTCACAGATCCTCACTCCCTGAGTCTTGTGCTGTGTGGAACTGGCTCTGAGTTCCAGTATAATGGTTATATTGAGATATTTTAAGGCTATTGCTTCAATGTTTTTGTCTTGACAGTGTTTAAAGAGAGAGGCTAATAATGAGTAACTATTCTCCCAAGCACGTACTTGGCCAATACTTAATTAAAAACTACATTTCCATCTTGGAAAGCATCACTTGGGGCGTAGTGTGGCTGCCTCTTGACTCAAAGTGCAGGAGCAGGAGGTGCCACAGCATCTTTGGCTGGTGGGGACGGGCTGCTGACTGCTGTGGGGCTTGCTCAGCCTGGCCCAGAGCACAAAGATTGTTTCTCATGTTGGTTTTGGCTCTCTTGCACAAAACTGCAGGACAGAGTGGCAGGACTAGCCCTGGCCATGTTGCAGGAATCTACTTTAGAGGTGGATTTCCAATAAAAACTAAGTAGTATCATCACAAATGGGATGGCTTGTGCAAGAATTTGGCAGAATAAAGAAATTACCTGAAGTGCTGAGGACAAAGGCACAGCCTGAGTTATCAGACTGACTGTATGATTCTGTACAGCCTCCTTGGGGGAAAAACACCCTGTCCTAGCTGGAGACCAGCTTTAAAGTGCTGGGCAGGAGATCTCTGATGGGGATGTGCATCCCTAAAGCTTGGGAATTTAGAGTTTTTTAAAAACAGTTTATCACAAGAACATAAGCAAAAACAAGCATCTGGAGCTGCTCAGGTGACAGGGCAGTAGTACAGCAATGGGACAGGGCTCTTATGTTTTTAATCAAAACATGGCTAAGCATTAATACTGTTTCTGAATGTCCTTTCTCACAACTACAAATGCAGCACAAATGTTGCACTTCCTACCTTATTTAGTGAAAGCCTGGCTGTGCCAGGGAGGAGCCTTGGATAATTGGGGTGCCATGGTGCTGTCCTGGATGGACAGAGCTGAAGGTGTCTCTCTCCTGTGTTCCAGGTGATCCGCTCTGCTGCTGACTGGTCTGCTGGCATTAAATACCACGAGGAGTCCATCCACAAAGCCTACATCAGCGTGATAGAGAACAGCAAGCACTACATCTACATAGAGGTGAGTGGCAGGGAGGGAAGGCAGGAGGGTCCTGATGCTCTGGGCGTGGCTGGTAGCCATCAGGAGGGTAATAACTTATTGAGGTTTGGTCATAAGTTTTTATGCATTTAGACAGATCCATTACCTTCAGTGGTCTTCTGGTCAGGCTGATGGCTGTGTACCCTGACAGCCATCTGCCCACGAGGTGGAAAAAAGTAGACCTCTCCTTTACAAGGCTCTTTGCAAAATTGCCAGCAGCTTTCATGGCCTATGCAATAGTCTCCCTGTCCCCTCTGTGGCTTTGTAGTGTCCCCTGTGCATGCCCAAATCTCCCACTCACAGAGCAGCTCTTCATCCACACAGCCTTCAGCTGCAGCAATCTCTTGTGTCAGAGTGACACTCAGTGCTGGCTGAATGGAGATGCTTTTCCTCCTCTCTTTTTTTTTTTTTTAGCCTCTTGTTAGGTTGCTCTTGACATGAACTTTCTAATGAGTGTGATTAATAAGGACTAATTCATTCCCTAAGCAAGCACAGACACACATATCATTTAATCATAATTTTAAAAAGCCTCTACTCCACTGGCACACAAACCCAGCTATCTTTAGTTGCTCTTGGTCTGAAATAAAGCATACAAATACTTTGGGTTGGTTGCTGGCAGTGTCTGACAGTAGCTTTGCTTGCTTTTCCTGCAGAACCAGTTTTTTATTAGCTGTGCTGATGATAAAGTTGTCTGGAACAAGATCGGTGATGCGATTGCTCAGAGGATTCTTAAAGCTCACAGGTAACCTGTTCTTAATGAGGCACTGGAAGTCTTCAGGTGCATTTCCACTGTATGGTGCAGAAAATAAGCCCTCAGTGGACACAGCTGGACAGTAGCTGTGCCAACACAGAACCAATGGGATCGAGCATCTGCATTTGCAGCAGTGAGACTCCCGAGTGGTTTCTTTGCATCCAGAAAGTGATTTTCTGGACTTACCCCAATGTAAATATATTTTTAACTATGGAACTTGTTTAAAGGCAAATCCTTTGTGCTCTGGTTCAGTGACACCTTTGCTCCATTGCCAACTTGCCTTGAGGTGGGTGGTCAGGCAATTTCATGGGTGGGAAGGGTGAACTGGGATTTGTGGTTTATTTAAATCATCTAGAGGGGAGCGGCTTCCAACTGGGGAAGCAAACACATTTTCAGGATTTGACTGCAGGGTTCTGCTATTGTTTGAATAACTTTTTCTGGTATATGCTGGAGAGTGTTCACCACCTCCAGTCTTTGCAAGGGGACTGTTTTTTGTTCCTGAGTGGATTGAATCCAACCGTATTTTAGACACTCCTCCAGCACACCTAACCCTGTGTTGACATCAATGCCACAGGTAGTGGCTTGTCTTCACTTTGATCCTGGGCAGCCTTGCTTAAGGTTGCTCCCCTGGAGTCTCTTTGAGACATACATTTCATAGTATAAAACTGTACCCTGCTCCTGCTGGGCTGATATACAGGAAACTTTCTAAACTTTTCTAAACTGAGGCAGCAGCAAATTCTCCAGGTAATCTGTTAAGGTTTTCCTGTTATATAAAGTTTATGTAAGGGGTGGCATTCTGTCCAGATCCCAAAAGTCTTCTTACAAAAGGGGGTCACACAGATTCTTAGTGACCCATTTCCAGATATGATGCTCACTTCTGCTTTATTCCTGTTGTATGCCAGTATTGTGCTGGCTTAATATTGGCAATTCCTAACTGAATATAAGGTTCAAATTCTGAATTACCTTAGATTAAAAGTAAACTGAGACCTAAATGGTTTGTATCGTAATACTCATTTTCCAAACTGCCCCAGGAAAACAGCGTTTAATTATAAATTAAGGTCTGTAGTGATCTTGTATACTTCTCACTCTTCTAGACTAAATATTTTCTACTGATGTTACTAATAATGTTCTTTTCTTGGTTTCCTCTTGTTTTCATGGGTGGCTCTCTAAGCAGTTTGGTAAACACTGTCCTTACACAAACAAGCTGCTTTTTGGGGAATGCTTTTGTTAGTAGACCTTTCTCATGATACAAACAGACTTGGTTTCACAGTCTCTTGTGTCTGGGTAAGGCTTCATTAACTGTTTGTGAGCTCTGCTGCTGAACCAGAGCCTGCAGTGTCCAGCACAGCTGGAAGGAAATGAAACAAAAATTGAAATGAAAGACAGGTCCGCACTGTTTTCCTCCCAGCTCAGATAGGACCCCAGTGCTGCCCAATTCCCACACCCCTAAATTCACGGGCATGGCTTGCCCGAGGAAAGAGTACTTCTGGCAAAAACTGCAGACTGGCTCATCCTCAGAATGCTTCTGAAATGGTTTTGTGCTGATTAAACTGTGTTTGCCATCTAGTGGCAGCATCCTTCCATGGAGCATTATCCTCGTCCTTCTCCTCCAGGGCACAGAGCAGGGAATTCCCAGCACCCAGGGGCACCTCGGAAGTGCTTTCAGAGCAGATGCACCTGGCATTTGTCAGCAGAGGAAACCCAAAGGGAGCTTTGAGAAAAGCCCCGAGCAGTGCTACAATAGTAGCTTTTGTTCTGAATGGGATCACGATCAGGGTATAGATGAGTTTGGAGAGCTCTGGAACTGAGATTTTTGGGTGCTGTGATGTATCAAGGACGTAGTTGCCTTCCCCCAGTGAGCAATGTTTTTCTTATACTCTGAATTTTTTCCACCCTTGTGGTGTTTCTGACTTCTGAAAACCAGGAGGCAGTGGGAATGTTGGGTTAAGTTTTGGGTTTCTGCCTGTGGTAGCTCTGTAGGCTTTGCTGTGCTCTGCCAGGCAGCTGTCCACACCAGTCTGCACCAGTATCCGTGTGATCAGTATTGGGGTGCTCAAACAAACATTTGTAGTGGCAGACACCATCTGAAAAGTCCTTAGCCTGCCCCTGAATTTCAGTAAAAATGTCTCTTTTCCTTTAGCTTCTTTTGCTGTTTGCTGAGAGTAAATTATTCCCTCTCTTCCTGAAGGAGCACTCACAGAAGTATGATGGCAGGTGATGATTTCCTGAAACTGGAAATGCACTTCACACTTTGCTCCCTTACAATTTGTGTGGCAGCATCAGATGGGAACCAAGTCGGTCATCTCAGGGGAAGTGAAACCGAGGGGACTTCACCTTGTGGAAAGCTGTGACTTTTCCAGGCTGATGTGACATTGCCAGGCTGATGTTCCCCCGAACTCTGTTGTTTTTCAGTGAGAACAAGCGTTTCCGGGTGTACGTGGTGATCCCGCTGCTGCCGGGCTTCGAAGGCGACATCTCGACGGGCGGGGGGAATGCACTGCAGGCCATCATGCACTTCAACTACAGGTACCACAGGGGGGCTGCCAGAGAGCCCTGCACACCCCCACTGCTGCAGGGGGTCCCCAAGCCCCACCTGCCATCAGTGTCACCAGCGTGGACAGAGCTTTGGGCAGCCTGGTCTTGGGAAAGGTGTCCCTGCCCATGGCAGGGGGAATAGAGCTAGATGAGCTTTAAGGCTCAACCAACCCAAACCATTCTGTGATTTGTTTTCCACTTGGCTGATTAAATCAAACTTGCTGACCAAGATTTGTCTCCAAATCTGCCTTTTTGGTTGGTACTTGGCCTGGCTCTGCCATTGAGCCCATGCAGGCAATGGAATCTTCCCCAGTCTGATTCCTCTGCTCCAGGATGGATGCTTTGAGGGGGCACTTGCAGTCCAGCAGGTCACGTAGGAAGGACTGAGATGCAGCAGGGAAATTCCTTGTGCTGGAAAATGTAGAAGGCAAAATGGCCCAAGATGGTTTTACTGGAAAACTGCTATGTTATGGTATGGCCAGGGCACAGTCAGTGTGCAGAGACTGCTGCAACCCTCAGACTGAAATCTCTCTTGTCTGCTGGCCTGCAGGGGTCCTGCTGCACCTCCAGAAGGACGAGTGGAGCAGGGGACACAAGCAGGTGGAAAGTAGCATGTCCTCCTGACCCTTCTGCCTGAGCTTCCTCTTGCAAGGGCAGCCAAAGGAAATTGCCCATGGGTTGTTTGGGTCTCAGTGGAATTTCAGCTGTGACTTTTCCAGCCCAGCCATAATCACACAAACTCCCTGACCTGGTGTTCTGCACGTGCTGACATTTTTCTTAACGTGATTTCACATCCAGGCCTGGCACAGGGGTAGCAGTCCTGCTTGTCACACATTTACAATCATTGCCACGTGCTCTAGAAGGCAGTAGCGCTCCCCAGCTCCTGTGTGGCTTGGTATAAACCCCTTTTGGAACATGAGCAGTCCTTGATGTAGTAACAGTCGTATGGGGGGAAAAAAAGTGCTTTGGAAGCACTCTGTTTCTCCTGTTGGAGAGGCATCTGAGTTTGTGATTTACCCCACCTGGTTCTGCTCCAGCACGTTCTGCTGTCTGGAGCTGCAGGGGTGCTGATGGCTGCCTACCTTCTTTCCAGGACCATGTGTCGAGGGGAGAACTCCATCCTGGGCCAGCTGAAGGCAGAGGGTAAGAACTTTATTCCTCTCCTCCATGTTGTTTATTTTGGATGCTGCTGTTTGATGGATGCATCTACAACACGTAATGCAGCACATGCTATGGGATCGTGGGGCTATGAGTGACCTCCTCCTTGGCCATCCTCCCATTGTGAGCTCTTTTGGGTCACACAGGCCATGGCCACTTGTCAGATTTCAGACCTGGCTGCAGCCCTGATCCAGAGGAGGGGAACACCCCAGGGAGGAGCACAGCACAGTTGCAGCTGCTCAGGATTGTGTTATTTGGAAAACGTCCTGAGCAAGGTCACACTTCTGGGAGCTATGAGCCCTCAGCCTCCCCCTGGATCCCACACAGGGTTTGTTGTTGGCAGTTGTCAGATTTGGAGAGGAAGAACCTGCCTAAGCAGGAGGCTGTTTCCTTGCCATGAGGAATCCTGCTGGAATTTGCTCTGCTGGGAATCAGAGCACTGTGAAAACCCACATATCATAAATGCTAGGACTGTGCATAATGCCTCATTTGTTCTAGGTCCTGATGTAAATCTGAACTGCACACAAGTGCATTAGGGCACATTTGCCATACTGACCATGGACAAAACACCTGCTTCCAGCCTCCTTTCTGCAGGATCTGCAGAAAAACAGTGTCATAGTCTACCTCTTGTGCTGTGCCCAGAAGTTAACTGTTCTTCATAGATGTCTTCATGTAAACAAGGTATTTTTTTTCTCTTCCACCTCCCTCATCCCATCAGTTTTCTTGTCTTTTAATTTTCAGTTGGAGATAAGTGGATAAACTACATATCATTCTGTGGCCTCCGAACATATGCAGAGCTGGAAGGAAAGCTGGTCACGGAGCTCATCTATGTGCACAGCAAACTGCTCATTGCTGATGACAACACAGTTATAATCGGTGAGCAGGAGCTCTCAGGAGGGGTTTGGGGCACTGGGTTGGACCTGGATCAATCCCTTCCCATCCCCATGCACAGTGCAGCCTGCAGTGCCATGGGCTTTTCTATGTTGTCATTTATTTCCTGAGAAATATTTTGCTGTTTAAAAAAAAACAAACCCAAAAACCAAACTCATAAATTCATCAAGAAGGAAAAAAGGATTCAGAGGGCTGTCATTTAATTTGTTTTTCTGAAATCTTTTAAATCTGTGTGTAACCGTGAAGAGAATCCCAGTGCAGGGAATATTGTCCATCTGTCTTGTATCAAACTCTGCTCTAGCAGGAAGACTTGTGAGACTTGTCATCTGTTCCTGAAAGAACAGAATGTGCTGTAAAATTTGGAAGGTTTGGACAACATGTGTCATGTATCAGCTCCATTTCCTAAGAATGGGACAATATGCTATAGGGAGTAAGAGATATCATTTCATCCTCTTCTCTTACCGTATTTATTATGAGGAAATGAAGCAAAGACAAGAGACTTCAGGCGTAGAGCTCTACACTGCAGCAGAATTTCAGCCTGTTTCTTTAAAGAAGCCCTTTTTGAGCTGTTATATCAGCAATAAAGGCTTTGCCAATGACTACCTTAATACCAGATTTTACAAGACTTGAAATACTCCCTCCCTTCAAAGCAGTGGTCTCAGATGACCTGTGGTGATGTTTGCTCCTCTGTCACCTCCTCAGGGGTCAGATCCAGTGCACAGAGGGGCTCTGAGGTGGTTTGATATCATAGCAGGGGCTGTGTTGTTCCAGCTGGGATGGTCTGGGGGCCTGAGGCAGCTCTTAGTTTTTATTTTCTGTACCTATAAGCTTAAGGGTAGATTTTTATACAGCCTGCACATCTGTGCTGCCTGGTGAGGAAATGGGAAGTCATTCCTTTTCCACATAAGAGACAGTGCATGGAAATGAAGTGCTCATGGAGCTCCTGGGCAGGAGGAGGGGGTGAAAGGACAGAGAGAGGCACTTAGCTGGATTTTCCTCTGGAGGTGTTGGCTCCCCTGGAGTTAATCCAGTTCCTGGGAAGGCTCAATGGCTAACTGCAGCCTGGGGGTCTCTCACAGCTGTGTCTTGAGATTTTTTTATTGTTTTGGTCATTTCTGTGGGTTAATTGCTTCATTATGCCTATCCTTCCCTACATCTTGCTGTTCCCTTGGAGCCAACAACTGCAAGCAAACAGTGTATAGGACAGAGAAACCTGTTTGGGGAGACAAAGCCTCAGCTGGTCTCAAGAAAACCTCCCTGAATGGAACAGCAACCTGTTCTAGTGGAAGGTTTCTCTGACCAGGTATATTAAGGGTAGACAAAGCCTCCCCAAGGGGCTACACCTAAAACGGACAATGGTCACGAGTTTCTCAGACAGATTAAAGTTTGGTCTATTTGCATATTGGGCTAATTCTCCCAATTATAGCTTCACGTAATTAAGTCATATACTTCCGACTTGCTCCCCACCCTTATTCAGTTTTGTTTATACTTCTCAGGGCCTGAGGCAGAGGGTGTCCTTGGTTCTCAGGCTTAGAAGGATCTGACCAAAATGTGAGGAGAGCTCTCTAGCACTCTATATGGAGTTCAGAGTTATACACTAATGCAGTACAGGATCTGAAAAATAGAAAAGCTAAAATCTTTACTCATCAGGTTGGGGTTTTACCTGTGGAAGCCGTGGATGGTTGCCATGGAGCCGAGGGGTGGCGGGTGGTGATGGAGGGTGTGCAGGATCACCTGGAGCAGCAGTGAGACATTGCCTGTGCCTTGTCCTGCCCTGCCCAGGCTCTGCCAACATCAACGACCGCAGCATGCTGGGCAAGAGGGACAGCGAGATGGCCATCATCGTGCAGGACAGTGACACCGTGCCCTCGGTCATGGACGGCCAGGAGTACAGCGCCGGGAGGTTCGCCCTGTCCCTCCGCCTGCGCTGCTTCAGGTGGGCTCTGGGCACGGCTGGGAGGGGATGTGGGAGCTCAGCAGGGATACAGGCAGGGCTTGCTCAGGCTTGACCTGCCCCCACAATCCGGGCTGCTGCTTCCTGCCCAGGTTTAGCTCTGCATGGCCTGGTCTTAGCCCAGGGTTTTGCTGTTTTTTCTTTCACTGGTCTTCCTCACACTGCTCTGTCCACAGCTTGGTAGTTTGTTTTTAAATTTTTTTTTTTTGCTTCAGGATTTTGCTAGCAGAGCTCATAAACAAGTGGTATTTCCCCTCCAGATCCTGTTTGCACACTCTCTCAATCTTGGGTGGCAGTGTCACTTTATAAAGGAAGCTTTTTTGCTGGAAGCAGCCATCTGGCCCACAACACGGCCATTTTTACTTTAAGGCCTTTTTCTTTTCCCTTTTTTTTCCCCCGCCACCCTATTTCCCATCTGGACAGTTACTGCACAGAAGAAAAGGAGAAAATCAAGCAGCATTAGAGCTGACAGATTATCACAGGGAGTGGGAGGGTGCTGGGAGCACACAGGGCTTGGCAAGTCCCAAGGAAACTTCTTGTCTCCTGGCATTTATCAAGAGGGGAATGCCCAGTTGTGAGCATCCATCCCTTGTCTTCTCAGGGTTGTCCTTGGCGGCTCTGACCTCAATCCAGAACACCAGGATCCCGTCTGTGACAAATTCTTCAAGGAGGTGTGGATTGCCACAGCAGCTCGCAATGCCACCATCTTTGACAAGGTGAGGAGCACAGCAACTTCCCCCTCCCTCCATCCCACACAGAGGCAGCAGATGCCAATGGGAGAAGCAGCACAGGGAGAGCAAAGAGAACAGGTTCAGTTCCTGGGGTTGGACCTTCAGAGATGTTTTGAAGGAATGAGTAGTGCCAGATGCAAGAGCTGTGAACAAGAAGCTGGAGCATTCTCAGTGTGACAGTGCCCATGAAGGCAGCAGATCAGATTTCTCCTGTGTTTGCATCAGCTGTAGCTCCAGTGAATGGCCGTGGTGTAGTTACTGCTTGTAATTACCCGTGGTGTAACTGGAGTAGAAGCAGATTTTACTTCTGTCTTTTAATGAGCTTTTGCAGTGGTCAGAAAAAGCCCTGAGCTACTCCTCTACCTGCCCCAGCCTCATTGAGGACAGGCACATACCTTTTCCCTCCCTGTTCTCTGAGCTGTTAATTCAGTCACTCCCATCCTGGGGAATTTGCACTGGATGCTTTGGTCTTTCTCAGGAGGTCTGCATTGCTGCATTTCCCCTACACTGACAGGTGACTTTTCTATTTTGATCAGGTGTTTCGATGCCTTCCCAGTGACCAGGTGAATAATTTAACCCAACTGCGTGATTTCATCAACAAGCCCAAATTAGCAAATGATGATCCTACAAAAGCAGCAGAAGAATTAAAAAAGATTCGTGGGTTTTTAGTACAATTCCCCTTTCGTTTTCTGGAGGAAGAGTACTTGCTTCCCTCTGTTGGAACAAAGGAGTCCATGGTACCCATGGAGGTTTGGACTTAAGAAGATGCAGGCTGCTTTACTTCTTAAAGTCTAGTTCTCAGGAGAGAAGTTAATGAAAAGTACGGGATTTTGGAAAGTGAAAAGAGACAAAAAACTTCTCCACCAAGCTAATGAGCCCTTCTGAAGGATTTCGGTAGAGGATCTTGAAGCAAATCAACACTAGCAGACAAGAGGAGCAGAAAAACTTGGAAATGATGGCAGATGAGAAGTGTAACCTCTGGAGGAGTTACTTCTTCAGGCATGCTCTGAGCATCTAAAGGATGCAGGCTACTTCCTAGGAGAGGAACTGACTCCCAGTTGATGTTGTCACCACTGCCAGCTGTGTCCTGTGGTTGCATAACTCGTACTGTGATCGTGCTGTGGCTGCACAGGAGTCGTGGGCTGCGTGTGCTGCTTCTCAGGCTTTGGGTATCTGCAGCTTGGCTCGCTGGAGTTCCCCATCTCACCCCTTCCACACCATCAGTGCAGCCCTGCCGCTGTTGGGAAGTGCCATTTGCTGCTGCCTTAGGCTGTCCTGCTGCTTTCCGAGTGTGGGTGTTTCACATCTTAGAGGGAAACAGAATAACAATCCTCTATCAGAATCAGCATTTCGGTCTCTTCATCCCTTTGAGGGGAAAAAATCCTCTTCCTATTGCAGCTGGAGCAATCAGCAGCCCTCAGGCTTGGCAGAGGGCAGTCTCAGTGGAGCTGGAGGTGCTGGAAATCACTGGAGTTTGCTGGCCTTTGCAGACACAGCACATCAGCTTGGTCCCACTGAGTGTGACTGTTTTCCTCAGGAGAGAATCAAGGTTGCCACTGAAGCCTGAGGTGTCCAGAGCCAGAGCAAACCAAGGCACCGCGTGTAGCAGGACTGAGACTCGAAAGCCAGCATGATCTGAACGAAGCTCTGCACTCTGCTTGTTTATCTTGCAGCATATGGGTGGACTTTCATTTCCATCCCTTTCCCCCTCTTTAAAAGAAGGGAAAGGCCATTAAGCTGACACCACGCTCAGACTGAGCTGATGTGTGGATTTGTAGATGGGGTGAATGGAAGGGAGCAGGTGACAAAGCCTTGTCTCTGCTTTGTTACTGAATAACCTACAACCTTGAGTTCAGTCATGCAGGACGTGTCTTCCCAAGCAGATGTAAAACTCAGCATTGCACATTCCTGTTTTCCATTACTGTAAGAAGGTTTCCAAAGCTCTTTTGCACCTCCCTGTACAGAGAAGCAGCAGCTCAATCCAGCATCCTGGGAAAAACACTACAGTTCCTTGGTTAGGACCTTGTGTGGTGGGCACCAGCCTGGGTCTTACCCATGCTCCATCCTGCAATGAGGCCGTGCCTCCCAGTTTCATGTCCAGCTCCAGCTGAGGTGTTCCTGACAGTCTGCAGTGCTGTGTCAGGCACTGGGAAAATGGAGCATTAGAAAACACTTAAGGAGAATTGGATCTGGAAGTGAGAGGCTCTGCTGGCCCCTGCATCCTGGCATCCCTTCCCAGGGTTATACCTGTGCCCAACACTCCTTGGTCAAAAGGCCTAGTGAACTGGTATTTAATTTAGCTCACAGAAGAGTTTATTTTTTCTTTTCTGGCTCTTCCAACGGTTTTTTAACTGGAAAAGAATTCCACTGCTTGCTTGGCTATCCCCGAAAGGTAGCTGGCATGACATTTTAGCTGATTGCCTTCTGTGTTCAGACCTGTAAATAGGCACCAGCTTATTCTGTACCTGCTGCATCACCCAAATAAGGAACAAACCCAGATGTTCTTCTGAATCTCAGCCCATTCCTACAGCTTCCACTGTTTTACACTTGTGTTTTGTAGATGCAGTTGCCTTTTACACTCCTTTCTGGCATCTGTGGTCTGGTTCACCTTTGGGAAGTGCATGTGCAGCATTTTATGTGATTGAATCCGGGGGGTTGATGGTTTTACCTGGCATGCTGTAAGCACATAAATATGTTGCCTTGATTTTTTTTCCCTTAAAAGAAACTGACCCGGGGTCACCCCCCACAGAGCCAAAGCAATGTGTGCCCTGACCATTTCCAATCGAGAAAGATCAAAGGTGTCCTGTGATTTCATATCAGTGCAGGTTCAGAGCTTTTCTCTCCTGATGTTTTTAGCTGTTCTAGTTTGACTGAAGCTGCTGACTTTAAACAATTACAGCCTGCCAGAGAATCCTTGTCAGTCACACAAATCCATGTTCAGAGTCAGAAAGTGTTCACTATACACTGAACCTTGAAGTGTAACACTCCTGTCACCTTCTAAGTGCTCTTATTCTCCTCATCCTCATATTAGCAAAGGTTTTTATAATGGTTAAATTATCCTTACATTGTATTTTAAAATGGCAGGTAGCTAATTGTTGGGGCTTCCTAACTCCAGGGGTGTTACTCCCCCTCTGCCAGGCTGTTCTGGGGAAAAACCACTCAGATTCTGCAATGCTCAGCCCACTGTGTGATAGCTGCTGGTGTCCAGTGGCACAGCAGAGCCATGGAAGGAGATGTAATTGACTGATTTGGTATGAAAAGGTGCTAATTAAGAAAGTCTTTCATTATTGAGGTAGCAGACAGGCCTGGTGTTGGCTCTCTATCAGGGAGGAGGCTCCCCTCTGTGGGAACAGAGGCACTGCACTGACCATCCCTTCCCTGTGTTGGTGCTAAATCCCTGATACCAGGAATTTAGAAACATTCAAACATTCAAATGCAAGCAGGGTGTGCAGGCAGCCTTGGCACAGAGAGGAGATCCCAGCATCTCCAGGGGCTTATGGACCACCAGGTTTCCTAAGGAAGGAGCACTGCTTGCCCCAAAGAGCCAGCAGGGCTGGAGCCACTCCCAGTGAAGGCCCTGCTCATTCACACCCTGGGCTGGGCTGTTTGAGCTGGCTCCGGGGGTCCTGTCAGCTACAGGTTTGTTTCTTATATTAAGAAGCCTGTGAAGTTGAACACCTTGAGAGAGTTGATTTCTGCACCTGAACAATCACTACTTCTTAGTCTGTCATACCAGCGTGGGCTTCAGACTGGAGAGGGTCACCCACGATACCCAGAGCTGGAACAGGTGATGTGGATTCAAGCACTAGCAACCCCAGAAACATCAACTGTTTCTTGTGGCATTTGTTTTTTAGAACTGTAGGAAATTAGAACTTCTCCCAGGCTCAGACTTTATTTTGTAATTCAACCTCAGTAGAACACTTATTTTCCCTTTAAATTATTCCTTAACAAGTTTCACCATGAGAAGTCACGCTCCTTTCCTTAAATTTTAATAGTCTGATATTTTAAAATACGTGTTTTGTTATATCGATGTTGGACTGAATAAATGTTTCACTGTAAAGTCAATGCATGATTTTAAAAATGAGAGATAAAATGTCATCATCTGCAAGAACTGTACTAAAAAACTATTTATAGGAGAACCACTCCAGTGCTCCATGGAAGAGGCAAAATGCTCGGCTCAGTTTCTGATCTCTTGGTCTCAGTTTGTCCCCTGACTTAGTATGAGCCTTGCTACATTAAACCCCAAATGTTCTATTTTCCTTTCTTTTGATCAAGTTTCACATGATTTTGTAATCCTGGTGCTGTCCCTGGGAGAACCTCAGTGCAGGTGTTGCCTAGGTGGGACTCCTCCATGAATAATTTCCAATATCTTTATTCCTTCCAAAGGAGCATCCCTGTACAATCAAGCGCAGATGTGCTTTGCTGTTGTTATTTCAGTGTAAGAGCCTTGAGCATTTGTAGCAAGGACAGTCAGCTTTGTATCTGTGCACAGAGCTGTGGGGACACTCCCATACAAGTAGGAGAGTGCTGTAGGATAATGCCATTTCCCTCTCCTGCTGCATGTGGAGCCCCAAATCCATGCTGGGCTAAGCTGACCCCTCTCAGCAGCAGCAGAGCCTTGCAGTGCTGTGGTGACCAAGGGGAAGAAAACCAGAGGGCTCCAGACCAGGATATGAGCAGAGGTTGTGGCACCCCTTGGGCGCCCCATGAGATGTGAACACACTGTCACAGCTCGTGGCATTCATTCTGCAAATGGTTTCAAACAAGCAATGGCTGCTGCACTGCTGACATCCTGCTGAAACCAGGAGCTCTGCAGAATCCTGCTTTAAACATGAGTGTAACTTCATGGCAGTGAGTCAAGACCAGCATGTGAATCTGTGTATCAAAGTGGAGCCACCCCACTAACCATATATCGACCACTGAATGCAATTATCATCTTGGGGTGTCACTGTTTTTTTCATATTTTCCTTTCTCTGCCTGCTTTCTTGTTGTATTTTCCAGTATTTGTGATTATTCTATTTTTAACCTTCCAATGTCTTTTCATAAAATCTCCTCTGTGTAAATAATTCCAACTTTCCCTAGTTCTGACACTAGGGAAATGAGAAAAAGTATCAAAAAGTCACAGTTTGGAGAATGTTGTTTTTTGTTAGAAAATGATGTCTCTAGCTAAACTAATCTACAAAAGGAGAGCTTCCACTTGGGGTGTGAGCACAGGTCTCCGTGTGTCCCTCCCTTCCGACAGTGCTGCTGTGACACTGAATATCCCTTCTGTGAAGGCTGCTGGAATTGAGTTTTGTATCCTTGTTCCTGCTAACGATAGCTTTCCTTTCCACTCTGTTTGTATCTGGTAAATGAATGTGTATTAATGGACTGAAAATACAACCTATCATCATGTCAGAACGTTTGGCCTCTGTGTCATTTCTCCTTGTTTTGGGGGCTTCATCCTGCCTTGGGATGAGTTCTGTCCTTGCTCTGTATCAGCAGCCAAGACGTGATGGGGAAAGGCCCAGAACAGCAATAAAAATGGCTAGACTTGAGTCATTTGGGTTTCCCTGGGAGAGAGAAATTGCTGGGGTGAAACAGCATAGATAGAAAATTGGACTTCTTAAATAGATTAAAAAGTCGTGTTTAAAGGAGTTTTAATAATCCAAAAGCATTATGAAAGGCATAGACAAAAACACTCTGTCTCCAAAATAGAATTAACTTGCCCCTATCTCTTTTAACTTAAAGGAAATTCAGCAGCGAGAGAGAGGAAGAAGCAGCTGCCTTTTGTCCTCCAGGGGCAGAAGAGATTAATAAAGCATCAGTGGCATTTCCAAGCTCTCTTGCAAACTGAAAACATATTAACTTCTCCATTTCTTAGGTTTCATCTCCTTCCTCAGATGCCAGAGGGCTCTCTGTATCTTCAGAACTTCCAAACCCAATCTGTGTCCTCGACAGACACAATAAAAATAAAATAAGACAACAGAGCCAGAGGGTGAGGCAGGGGGTTGGTAAGAGACATCAGGCAGCTGCTGAGTGACACTGTTGGCTTCTGCTGCCACTTCAGCATCCCCCTGCTGATTTTGTGCCCCCTGAATCCCACTTAGAGGCTCCTGAAGAGGAGACAGCGGCAAGCAGGAGCAATGTGGGGCCTGACAGTCACTGCTGGGTGCATGGTGCTGAGCCCAGGGGTGCTGGATGGCAGCAGGGTGGCTGTGGGGTCACACGGGGCAGCTGTGTCCTGCCAGCATTGCTTGGTTTCCCTGTGAGCAGCAGGAAAGCCATGGGATCACAGTTGAGACTTTTGGTGTGAAATTAATGTGAAACTGGAAGTGGTCCTGAACCTAGGAAGTTCAGGTATGGATTTGTAGGAAGGATCCTTTCCCTTTTCTACATGGTTTTCCTGGTTTTGGGTGGGATAGAATTTGTTTTTCCTTAGTAGCCGGCAGGTTCTGTTTTGGATTCAAGTAGGGGCCCAACTCGAGGGCACTGTTGCTGCTTTTCCCTCTCCTGCAGTGCTCCTACAGGGCCTGACTTCATTCACATCCATCCCTAAAAGCAGAAGTGAATGCCAGCTTATGGCTATGGCAGGCACTGACTGTGTGGGGAGGCAGGAACGGGATGGCAAAACTCCCCCGGACGTTTCCCCGACCAGAATGTTCCTGTTTGCCCGCTGGAGGACTTGCAAAGCCTCAATTTGATGGCTCCTCACTGAGCAGAAATGCAGCCCACGCCTACCCTGAACACAAAGTGCCCTTGCCAGAGTGTTTAACAACCTGTTCTTCCCAGGATGGATTTCTCCAGCCGTTTTTCCTCCCGCAGGTCAGCTCCTCCATCGTGGATGTGTCCACAGGAATCCCATGCCAGGGGCAGGAGGAATCCTCTCGTCCACTCCAGCAGCCAGCACATCTGCTCTCTGGCCCTTCGTTGGCATTTATGCACCGAGCTCTCAATAACACATCAACTTTAATGAATGCCAGCCCTTTGCATGCATGAAATCACTAATATGCTGTAGTTATTTTTGTTCTGAGGAGGAAAGAAAGAAAAAAAGAATAGGTTTTGTGAGCCAGGTCTAAGGGTACATGAAGAAACAGGTTTCTTCTCACTGCTAAAAATCAATTTATTTTAGTTTCTCTGCAATTGTGTCAGCTCTTCACATTTTCAAGTACGGCTCTGAAGCGCTGGTGCAGTGGAGCGAAGGTTTGAAGAGCTTGAATCACAACAGCACTGTGAGTGAAATGCTCGATTTTTTTCTTATTGGAAAAATTAAAAGTGACAGCTTCAAAATTGGTTCCAGTGCTTTGATTGATTAGACAGAATATTTAGCTCAAAATGATTATGGCAAGATTTTCTACAGAGGCTCATGGCTGGGATGGAAATTAATTTGGAGAAAAGGGGAGGGGGAGTTGTTAAAAAAGAAATTATTCTGCAAAGGAATCTGTTTATCCCCAGAATCTGTGATGAGTAATCTCTCCATATTCAGCCTGATCTCAATAATTAAATATTCTGTGAGTTCCCATTTGAGGACAAAGGAAAGGGGCACGGGGAGATAGTGTTAATGAGGCTTCACAGGTGTCTGTCCCCTGGAGATTCTGATGCCCAGTGGCAGCTGCTCAGTGCCCAGCAGGTGGCCTGTCTGTATGGAATATCCTGACTGGGAAACATGCCCTGAGCCAAGGGCTGGGTGTTCAACTGGAGCCCTGCTGGGGCAGGTGAGCTGGAGGTCACCCATTGGGAAGCTGAGGGCCACTGAAGGTGGTGTGGGCTCAAGGGGAGTTCTGGGAAGAGCTGGACCCACCTCTCCAGCTGGAGAATCCAGGGCCAAGCACAGCTTAAAGCAGACACATCACAAGGATGCTCCAGTATCTCCAGACAGACCCTGCTCTCCAGGATATATCCTGGAATGGGAGAGCTGAGGCCACCTGGGAGAGGGGACAGGGAGGCTGGGCTCTCACCCAGGGAAGTACCAGCAGTAGAATTATGGAGTGGTTCAGGTCAGAACAGACCTTAAAACTCATTTTGTTCCACCCTAGGCAGGGACACTTTCCACTATCCCAGGTCGCTCCAAGCCCATCCAGCCTGGCCTTGGGCACTTCCAGGGATCCAGAGGCAGCCACAGAGGGAAGAATTTTTCTCTAATATCCAATCTAAAACTACTCTCTTTCAGTTAGAAGTTATTCCCCCTTGTCTTGTCACTCTAGGCTCTTTTTAAAAGTTTCTCTCCATCTCTCTTGCAGGCTCCCTTCAGGTACTGAAAGGCCATAATTAGGTGGCTCCAAAGCCTCCTCCTATCCAGGCTGAACAATCCCAATTCTCTCAGCCCTATAGCAGAGAATGCCTCTATCCCATCCTGTGCTCCATGCTCCATGCCTCTATCCCATTTTGTGCTTCTATCCTGCTGCTGGTGTCCTGCCTTTGGCATTCATCTGATTCATCCTTGTTCCTTTCACTAAACAAGCAGAAAAGTGTTTCTACTCTCTTCACTGGGTTATCTTCCTTATTCCATTCTTTATCAGACAAATGCACACTAAAGGGCCCAGCCAAGCCCAGCAGACTCACAGGCTGGAACCTGCACTTTGTACATCCAAGACAGAAACAAAAAATGGGTCCTTCAGGAGAGGACTCAGGCTGCTTGCCCAGCATTTTTAAATTCAACTTGAAAAATAGGTTTGAGACTTTGGGTTGTGTTTGTCGGTTTTTTGGGGTTTTTTTACATTTTAGGTTTTCACATTTCAGACATGCTTCCTCTTGGTAAATGATTCATGAAATAAAATATAAAAGCACTATAACTGCAGAAATATGAAGTAGGTATTGTATATAGAAGTAATTTAAAATAGAGTTAATATTTTCCTCTATACAGAAAAGCTCCATTTTGACCAGTATGAGATATGGAACAGGGAAACTCCAGAAACAAAGACAGCTGTAGCCACAAGCCACAGCTGTAGCCACAGAGCAGCACAGCACTTACAAGATGTTTTTCCACGGGTGTCTCCTGCCTCGTGCACAGTGAAACCCAGATAATCCCCACGTATCTTGTAGGACTGTGTGTTGGCCAGCACATCCTGGCTGGAAAGAGTTATGCAGATGCAACCTGGGCATTTAATCACATGTAGGAATTTAGGCTGTGTTGGGGCCACATTACAGCAGCCTCAAGGTCACTTTAAAGTAACAATCCACCTAATCCACAATTTTCACGGATAAGTCACTTTTAGGTACAATCCACCTGACTCTTCTTGGCCTGACAGCTGTTCTGTCCAGGTGTGTGTGGGGATGCAGAGCCCATGGCTGGGGGAGGCTGTGCCTACAGCTCAGAGTCCTGGGCTAAGCTGACTGCATCTTACAGGGACCACATGCTGTGAGTGACATGTTCATCTCCACACCTGCACTTCCAGTTTGGGTTAAACCTGCCAAAACCAAGACAATGCCGACTACAGCTGGGGACACACCTGGAGCCCTGCAAGGTGTGACCTTGGAGGATTTCCCCATGGTGCTGCTTCCCGGTTTGCTGGGGAGCCTCTGGTCCATCTCACCCTCTCCTGCAGCATCTCCATCCCCTCCAGCACCAGGCAGGACAGCCTGGAAGCCTGGCGCTGCTCGGGCTCAGCAGTGCGCTGGTGCACAGCGATGGATTAAACCCACCTAAGGAAAAAAGCCTTGCTGGAGAGACGCTTCCCAGAGGATCCAAACCCTCCCCGAAGCCGAGGGCTGGGTGGCCGCGTTCCTCTAGAGGGTGCTGCGGGCTCAGCCTGCGATCCCTGGGGAGGGGGTGCCCTGTGCTGGGAGCCCCCATCCCGCTGTGCCGGTCCCCGAGGAGGGGGTGCCCTTTCCTGGGATCCCCCACCCCGCTGTGCCGGGTTCCTGCCGGTCCCCACGGCCACAGCCGAGCTGCAGGACGAGGATGCAGTTAAAGCACAAAACCCCGCCGGGCTCCCTCCTCCAGCCTGGTCCTGCCTCTCTCCAAGGATGTTCCCCCACATCTGGCCTTGCTGCTGGGGGCTCGCAGGTCAGCATCTCCCCCCTCCCTCCGAGCACGGTCACGCTGAGACATTTTTAAATGAAGTACTACGTGTACCGTGACTGTTGGGGATTAAATACATTCCCTGCCTAACATGTCCTTCCCAGAAGGCTGCGTTGGCTCTCCAGTGGCTCGCTGCAATATGTATCTCCACTTGGTTTCCTTGCAGACCATATCTGTACGACATCGATTGTACTGGCTAAGAATGCTTACAAACCTATTTCCTGCTGCAGGATGATCACATTATACACAATTACACACTCTAGGAATTTCTCCTGAGATCCAGCTGGGTACAGGCTGGAGTGATGGAGGAGCTGGAGCGTGTGCAGAATAATGAATCATTCATTCAAGCTGACTTCGAGCTCTTGGGTTCTGCGAGCATGTGGTGAGCTGCACTAGCTGC